TAAACCCGATCCGGGAGGTGGTCAGTAGCATGATCTCTGGCTTGCGCTGTGCGCCATACCTCGTACACAATCCCAATGCGGATATTGTACAGGTGGCATTCCATGAGGTGGAAAAAGTCACCAACATGGACACTCACTCGTGTGTGAGAGCGAGTGATGAAGCGCTTGAAAGATGGGTGGCAAAGCAACTGCTCATCGAGGAAAGCGATACTGGAAACCCAGTTCCTGATGGTTTGACAGTCCTGGCGTACTTGATTGACCACCCGCAACACGCGGCACAGTGGGGACGCCACATGACAAGGAAAGGCAGTCTTCAATCTGCTTTTACCTTTTATCTTTCTGTATATATTTATGATGCATACCGCATCGGTGTTGAGGACGGTTTCCTCGTCCCGCTGTACGGCCTAAGCGCCTCTCGGGAGGACGTGATCATGTCCATGGTCCAAGCCGAGCGACGCCTCGCGGACTTCACCACCGAAGACGCTAATTTTGACATCACCGAGACCCTCAGGTTGAGCATTGACTCCCTGAGGGGCGGTGGTGGGACGATAACTGTCCCAATTGAGTATGCTGAAGCATACATCTACACCGACCTGAACAAGGTCGAGATGGTTCCCGCTGGGCAGCGCGATGGCCAAAGTGCCATCACGTTTGCGGATGCTCCAACTGGGAAGCATCACAGACGGGCGGCAACGCCTCGGGGTGATAATCGCTCCGCTTCGATGCGACCGGATCAGAAGGGCAAGGGAGATACTCGGAAGGGCAACGCCCCTGCGGGTTCCTGGCCCAAGGGAGAGGGTCCCAAAGGGGATCCGAATGCAGGCAAGGGTCACAAAGGTGACCAGCAGAAAGGCAAAGGCGGCCTATACGGCCAGCCGGTCGAGGACGCCGACGGGCAAGTACCAGCCCGACGCTCGCGGCTCGGGATACAAGGGCGCACAAACTGCTCCCTTTCCGTATCCTAGTCCCATGTACCCCACATTCCCAATGGGGGGCTTCATGCAGCAGCCTATGGCTGGCATGATGCCACAGATGTGGGCTGGCGCAATGGTCGCAGTTTCCGCCGGAAAATCCCGGCGCGCACATGAACCCTCATTCACCACACACCCCAACTTGGGGTGATGATGATGAGTTGGCTGAAACCGAGCCTTCTGATCCCCCACCCGGGGATTGGAACGTCGGGAAGGGAAGGGGACGACGCGGCCGCGGCAGGGGAAAATGATGCCCTATCGTGTTCTGCCCGCGCTGAGTCGCGCCCAATAGTGCCAAAGCGCACTCGCGGTGTTTGACTACATCACGAGTTCAATCATTGCATGATGACACATTCAGGGCAACGCTCCTGGTGTCAATCCGTGATATCGGTTAATCACCGACTTATAATTCAATTGCATGTATGATCGTGCGCTAGTCGCGCCGATCGTATTGTCCTGTCAGGTACGTCTCGTCACTGCAAGGCAGTCATCCTCGCCGGCGTCAACGGCCGCTGGTGATCAACATCTTCCTGAACCGCTGATGCAGCTGGTGAAGGAACTCGTCGAGGTGCTGGCGTGATGATCGCGATTGCGCTGCACCGCTGCCGGAGGTGTCCAACTCGGACCTAAACCGCTGACGGCTGCCGGTGCTACTCGTGCCGGCCGTCTTCGAGTGACCGCGCGCCTAGACGGTGCTTTTTAAGGCCGACGATAACTGGTCAACGCATCACGTTTCAACCAACCGGCCAAAGCGCCTTGTCAAATAATTCAAAATTAAATCCACTTGAGTCTATCGGTTCAATGTGGTTGCAATGGAAATGTTTTTATTTGGCTTCATGCCTGCCATTCTGGAGTTGAATCTTTGTTTCTGTTTCTTTTTGCTTTCTCTTGTTTGATTTGGCACCGGCGCGAATCCGCCCCATACCCGTAATTCGGGATGGTGGCGGGATCCGGGCACCAATGAGTGCCCGGGTATGGGGTCGCGAACCCTGGTAGCCTAATCGGCTTTGTTTTTCTTGTTTATTGCAATTCAACTTCAACATGGCCAATGCGCCTTTCCAAATTCACTCCTTCTCTTTGTACAGTCGAGGGGGGTGTTTTTGGGGGCATGTATTTTTATCACAACATGTTTAATTTCATGCCTATGCCCAATGCGGCATTTGGCTCAAGTTTTGCATTCGTCAAACATAGCTCGCCATTTCGTCGGGAAAAGTCCGCGGCGCTCTACACGCCGGCCGCGCGACGTCTCGGCCGTCGTTGCTGGGGTGGTGGTTTTTGTCCTGGAGGTGGGTTGGGCCATTGTTTGGAGTGCGCTGCTCGTGCTCGCTTTGCTCGCTTGGTGCTGCTTGCTGCTGGTTTGCTTGCTTGCTCTGCGCTGTGCTGCGCTTCTGCTTGGTTTATTCTTGTTACAAACTGGCACCCTTTTGGTTCGTGTTTGTGCCGGCCGGGGGCAACTGCTTTGCCCTTGGGACCGGGGGGGGATAAGGTGGTCTCTTCTTGTTGGTGGGTTAGGGCCTGTTTTATCCATCCCGAAACTCTGTTTCAAACCCTTTCGCACAACGAGACCGCGAGGTGGCGCACATCGTGGGTCATGGGGAAGGATGAGTGAAACATCATGAATAAACAACCGGAATGAGCAGTTGCGAAAAATAGACAAACAGCAACATTGAACATCGATGGCGCGCGAGAGTGATATATTTTTGTGCTACCCCCCCCCCCCAGGGACCTACCTTTTGGTTGCCTCTCCAGTGCATGATTTGCCCATCTAGGACTGGGAGGAACGATCTCTCAACTAGGACCACGACCTGGGACTAGGACCAAACTAGGACTAGACGACCCACCTCAGATTCTTACAAAAAAATAAGTTTCAAGTATAACTTCCTCTCTTACTTTCTAATTATTGCAGTAAACTAGGGAGCAACCTAGCACTAGAACCAAGGATCTCTCACCTAGGACCAAACTAGGACTAGACCATTCAGCTCTACTTGTTATAGTGTTTGGATGTCAAGCATTACATTCTGGTGGAAAGAAAGTCATGTTTAATATTTGGCTTGAAACAGAATAACCATAAATTATGACTAGATATGTTCTGCAATTATTCTACTGTTCAGTTAGCAGATGCATAGAAATTGAGTAATATATTAACTACAATTCATAAGGAACTTCCTTTGCATTGTCCTTTGTACGTTCTATTTATTTCAGTAAGCTAGGACCATACTAGGCCTAGAACTAAGGATCTCCCAACTAGGACTAGGACCAAACTAGGACTAGACCATCTAAGAGTTTAACTCTAGTTCTGAAAGTGATTGAATTTCAATGTTCTATTGTACCATGTAGTTTGACATAGAACAATCAGCACTTAAGTTCGAATCTAAATCGAAATTCTGGCTGGAGTATGTCCTTCTTAAGCTTCATTGAATTTCAAACCGAAATTGGGTCGAATGTGATAAACCATATTAAGTGGAATTCATAAGGAAAGAATCCAAAGGTCCAAAACTTGTCTTTTCACTAGTTCCTAACTACCATGGTCAGAAAACACGGTAAAACACAGTGTTGTGTTGTGTTTTTCATACTCAATTCACATTTGTACCAACGAACACTCGCTAAATGCTCGTTTGAATTTGAACACGAATTAAATGGGACTCAATAACGAAATATGTGGTCAGAATCCTAATGGTAATCAAATCTGAAATTTCGAGTTTAAATAGAGTTCCTTTCCAAACGCGAGTCCAGGCCCGAGTGAAACCCATTGAAACCAACTGAAATTTCAGTTGAGCCTAGGTTCAAGATTCCCTAGAAAACTTTGGCCTGCAATATTGAATGTGGGCCAAGATTGAAAAAGATTGAATGACAAATCAGGACTTGGATGCTTGCACAACACTGTGCCAAAGTACAGCCGCGCAAAGTGCAATGTTGAATTTGGGTCTCGATTTAAACCGATTTAAACCGATTTAAGTTTAAATCAGGCATGGATTCAAGATTCAAGATTCAAGAATCCAGGCCAAACTTTTCCAGGGAATCTTGAATCCAGGCCTCGATTTAAACCGATTCAACTTAAATCGGGCATGGATTCAAGATTCAAGAATCCAGGCCAACATTTTTTCAGGGAGTCTTGAATCTTGAATCTTGAATCCATGCCCGATTTAAGTTAAATCGGTTTAAATCGGTTTAAATCGAGGACTGGATTCAAGACTCCCTGCAAAAGTTTGGCCTGGATTCTTGAATCTTGAATCTTGAATCCATGCCCGATTTAAGTTAAATCTGTTTAAATCGGTTTAAATCAAGCCTGAAGCTTCCAGAACGTCCTTGGAAATGCTTCTTTTTCATTGCTCTCCCCAAAGCCCAAAAAAGGGTAGAACACACTGCAAATACCAGTGAATTCTTCAAAAAGGTAGGTCCCTGGGGGGGGGGGTACCATTTTTGTATATAAGCTAAGTACGGGAAGAAAATTGTGAACCATTGTCACGCATGCTCAAACGGTTTCCCGTTACAGGCATATGCATGAACATGCACAGCCGGCCTAGCCCAGCAGATTGGCACAAGCTACTGTGGTAAGGTCTAGAGGAGCCAGCTGAAGCCAGCAAACAAAGCACTTGCTCATGTTCGTCTCAGCTAAGCTTATGATCCAACCCTAGGTTTTGGAATCACGGGAATGGTTGACAGTTCAGTAGACCTTCGCCTCAGAGAGCGTGCAAGCGATCCCTGCTCTTGGCGCAGCCTTCAGTCCATGGTGCCTGCGGAAATGTGCTTACATGTTGCCTCCTTAGCTGCTTGCTTAGACATAGGCAACCCTGTAACGCTTAAATGCTTTATTTGTATTTGGCTCACATTTGTTTATCTAGATGAGCACGCATCTCAGGCACAAGCAAGGCACAAATCGGACACACCGGGCTGATTTTTTAATCCCTGCCGGAAGTTTGTCAGACCTGTTTGTAGCCGATGGGAGTGAACATGTCGGACTTGTTCACATATGCACTGTGCGATGTTTTGTACAGGCCCCCTTTGCGCTCTCCTTGCCCTTCGCGCCAGGGATTTGATGGGGCTTTGCGTGCTCCTCTGCGCCTCTGCGTCACAATCAGAGCACCCTCTCAGCCGCGGCATCGAGGAGGGCGTGGCCCGCCTTTCTCTCCGAGGACAAGTAGGGGCGATTGAATTTTGTGCGTGATGCATTTGGAAGTTTGTTGTCATTTGACACACTTCCAAATGTCCGGTGCCACACTTTTCGCACACTCTTGGCACAGGGGAGCTTCTGCTTCCACTGCGAAGCGGGGGCCAGTGAGCTTCCCATGGGAAGGGGAAGGGGGCGTTCCATAATTTTACCAAACTGCAGATGAAGCTCCATTTCCACATGAGCTGGGGTTGGTTCCCAATGCTGTTCCAAGTGGCTGCGACTTGCCCAAGCTCCGGGCTTGTCTCCAGTTCGGGGACCCACATGACTGTCTTTGTGGCCCTTTTTGTTGTGCTAGCGACGGAGCGCTCAGTCAGCCGGCCTCCAGGACCTTCGGAGCTTTTAGAGGCAGCACCTCCGGTGACTTCTTTTGAGGTGAAGCTGGGCAGCGGCGTGGAGTTCCAGTTGGGCGACCTGGCAGTGGCCGCTAGACGGATATGACTCACTTATCTTTTGGTCAGTTGAACCACCCCATCCTTTTCTTTCAGCCACTTCCCTATAAATGAAAATGGTCTGGGGGGGGAGGGAGGGGGAGGGGGAGGAGGGGGAGGGGGGGGGAGGGGGGAGGGGGGGGGAGGGGGGGGAGGGGGGGAGGGGGAGGGAGGAGGGGGAGGGGGGGGGGGGGAGGGTGTTCCGAATGGCTAAGGGGACACTGGGGCTCCTCTCCGCCTGCTTCAGGCTGTGGGATCTCTGGAGCACTTGGCCTCAGATCCTGAAGTCTTGCCCTGGGCAGAGCAGCAGCCGCTGGGCACGGGCCAGCTTTGGGCCCTGGAATTTGTTTATTTGAGAGTATGAGGCACCACAAACCCTGGAGGATTCTGAAGTTTGGTTTGTTTTTCAGGGCCATAAGACTGATGGAGATGTTCCTTGAGGTAGTTACGAAATTCATTCAGACTCACGTTGGGCAGGCTGATGGTGGGAAGCATGTATCGGCCTCATAGCAAGGAACGACGGGAGCGTATTAATCCCGATCATTTCCAGATGCGTTGCCTGCCACCTTGGGCTGGCAGCCTGGCCCGGCTAGGCTCCCCGCCGGATTTCGGACTCCGTTCACCTGGCAAGTGCCAAAATTGCCAAAGCTCTGCAAGATTTGCCCCAGTGCCCTTTCGAACCCTTCCAAGACCTGGCCCATGGTTGTGGAAAATTGCACTTTCTGTGACACGTTGATCCCCGTTCTTGCTGCCTCAAGGAGAAGAAATGGCTGCACCATTGTGGGCGTGCAAGCTAACGGAGTGGCTTGCTTGCAGCATGAGACCAGGCCTCAAGATGCAAAACATGGGGCTTTGTAGAAAGCACCATGAAAGCACCAAAGCTGCCACCCAGGTTCTTCTGGGCCTGGCAGCCCTGCGCGACACAGTGCAGCCTGCGGCGCAGAAGGTGATCCGGGAACTGCAGGAGGCAGCGGCAGCTTTTGCCGGGGCTGAGGGGCCTGAAGCATGCTTCAAGATAGGTGGGGTGCTTATGCACATTTGATTCCCAGTTCGCAACTAACAGGGCTGAAAGACACTGTAAGCATGACTGGATCACGCTGCACAAGTTAACTGCATTGTTTCTTGCTCCTTGCATATCGCAGTACATTCTTATCTTGATTAGTGTCCTTGAGGCTAGGTCCAGGATTGGGCTCGGAAATGTCCATCCCGAGACCTCTCCTAAGTGAAAGGTTTTGTCCGCCTTGCATCTCCTTGCATTCTCTGTCCTTCACGCTAGAATGCCAGCAGTCTCACATGGGGAAGTCCGGCAGGTTGGGAGTTGTGACTGAGATCAAGCAACCCAGCTTCATAGTCTTAAACTGGACATCTTGACATGTTGGCAAAGAATATCAAAGAATCCAACCTACCATTGTGGCATTCCCCCCGAGCAGTGTCGCCGTTTTTTCCGCTGTGTCCGTTGGATTTCTCACGTCCAGGCCGGGGAGGAGGTGTGGATGTGCACGGGCGACCACAGCAGCACGGCCTCGGCGGTGGCTGAAGAGCTGGGCCTCGCCGAGAGGCACATCCGCGCGGAGTGCCTCCCAGCGCACAAGGCGAGGCGGGAGTCGGGTAATCTCAGGACAAGGGGTCATTATTTTGACGGTTTTCTGGGGTTGTGAAAGTCAGAAATGGGGTTGTTCCCTGTAACCCACCACTTGTATAGGGAGTGACTTCGCCCATGGTAAATAATGAGGCCAGCAGGCGGGTGAGTGCGTCAGTGGGTGGGCTGAGGTGGCGCCAGGGTGGGGCTGGCAAGTTTTTTTTTGTTCCTGGCGTGACTCAGCCTGTGTCACATGGAAACTAAAACGCATATCATGTCGCTTTGCACGAACTGAGGCTGCCGTGGTGTCGGAATTGCAAGCTGCAGGCGGCTTTGGCTCGCACTTGCGGCTTGAGAGATTGACATGGGATGAAAGGGTTGGCGACCTCTGAATTGTTTCCGTCAGCTCATGATGGATCACTGACAGGATTCACAGCTTGCGTTTCTGCGCATCCTTGAGATCGACAAATCGTACTGGCCAGGTTTGATTTGGTACCCCGGATTCTGCCAGCTGGGGTCGAACTTTGCCAATTGTTTACTGCCCGGTTCAATGCACACCAAACATGAACAGACCTTGCAATGATTACTGTACAATGGTCAACCATCATTGGCAATCGCCACGGCAATTCCGATAATCAATAGTTGATTGTTTTTTTTGGTCTGGCTTGGTTTGGTTTCGGAGCGATGTAGGCGCCTTTGATCGGGCCGCCCCGCCCAACACGCCCGGCAGTACCCATTGAGCTCTACCCATTGAGCTTTGCACGCCTTGTGGCTCAGGCAAGCGTGTGATCTTCGTAGGCGACGGCGTGAACGACGCGCCCGCCTTGACCTCCGCCGAGGCCCATCGGAGAAACGCGGGAGTATCGCTGCCGAAACGACCTGTAGGATCTGTCTCGGGTCGCCCAAACACACCTCTTAAGTTTTGGCTTTGTTTTTCTGCAAAGTTGCTTGGCTCCCTAAAAATAAGAGGTAATATCAAGCACAGCCCTCGGCTGCCCTTCTTACGACGACCTTTGTCCAGGGCTGGCAACCAGCGAATCAAGGAGATCCAGGGATTCTGGCAGGATTTCACGAGCATGCAACTGATGACATGAGCGAATTGAGACAAGCAAGTGGAGCGCTTGCTAGATAAAGTGAGAGCCCATGATTGGTTTTTAAAATGCCCCTTGAATTTTCTCCGGGTATCGTTTCCATTTGCTTCGGCTCAGGCTGAGGTAGAGCTTCGAGGTGATCAATTCGTGAGACATCTGAGTTCAGAGCTCAGGTTGGTGTGGCGATCGGCACCGGCGCCCGGCTGACCGTGGATGCGGCGGATGTGGTACTCGTCCGAGCAGACTTGCAGGACACCAGCCCAAAGCCTCCCCTTTGGCCAAAAAGGAAGCAGTGAGAATCGTAAGTCGTGAAGTTGTCTTGAGGGCCATGGGAAGCTTGGATGGTTGCAGGCTCTGTTTCTTTGATTCCTGCTCCTGTTGGGGAGCCTTTGCGGCTTTGATTGAAGCCTGGCCGCTCGATTTCATGCTTGTCGTTATTCAGCCCGTCTTGATGTCAAAGCTGCACCCCAAATGTAGAACCTTGGGTATGTGCTTGTGTTGAGTGTTGAGCTTTGCGCGCTTTTGCCTGATATACCTTGGTGATTGCTCCTGTCGCCCCAAATGAGATGACTTCATTGGCGTGTCGAGGGTGGGGGGGTGGGGGGCATCTTCGCGAGGAGCTGCTCACCGCGAAGCAGCTGGCCCTTGCCACGGTGTGGTGCATCAAGCACCCGGGCCGGTGGATGGGGAACGCCTTCAGAGTTGGTGAGCCCATTTTGGGGTTTTCTTACGGGCAGCCGAAAGAAGCCACATATGTGTGGGGTCCATCATCTAGAGACAAGCTGGGGTTGGGGCGAGGGTTGGGGCGGCCGGGCTGAGGCGAAACTTCATGTGGGCGATGATCTTCAATGCCTGCATGATCCCTTTGGCTGCTGGGGTTCTCCATGAACGAGGCGACAGGGATGCCAGACTGCCAGACCAGTGCCTGCTTGCAAAATCATGTTGCATGGTGTTGGTTTGGTGTCCCTTGCTGCTGTGGCTCGGGCTCCGGTTCGGACTTGCAGGTGTCCATTTACCGCCTGCCGCGGCGGCTGCAGCTATGGCCTGCTCATCCATCACTGCGCCATGGATCAAAGAGCTGGCCCCATGCCCCACTTCCCAGAGCAGCCAAAGGCCAAAGCGCTAAGGTTTACCCTCCATCCCGAAATGTCCACATGGCCAGAGAAGAGGTGCAGAAATGGCCCGTTTCCGTCAATGTATCGATTTGTGTGAGAAGAATTGCCGTCACCATCCGGCACACACGTTTGGGGGAGGCTGGTTGTCACCTTGCGCTTTAGTTGCTGGGTTCAAGGTTTTGTTTCCCAAGCGCTACAGCGGTGTGATTCCCGATCAATTCAATTTCGTCCTTGCAGAAATCAAACAATTCCCACGTCCACACCAGCAGGTCGGGCAAACGTCCAAAAAATATACTTCCTCGATTCAATGGGCCAAAGAGAAGGGCTTTCAAACGCCAGTCTCAGAGCAGCCGGGAAGCCTGATTGAAGGTTGTATCCTCGTCACTTCTCCTGCGACGCTTCAAACCACGATGGCAAGGAGCTACTTGGAAGCAGATCGGGCGCCAGTTTGCTTGGCAGATTTTGGAGCTTGAGCCATTCCAGGACACACAAGGGAATTCTTGCGCACACAGGGCTGAACATCTTCTGAACATGATATCATGATCCTACATGCGCAAGCAGTGGTTGGGATTTTGCAGATGTATGCAGACTGGCCCCTCTTGGTACCATTACCAGCCCAAATTGCTGTTGCATAGCTACGCATGTTGATGGCCACACTGAGGCTGAGTTGACGGCTTTCAAGAAGCCGGTGCCAAAGAAGGGCAAAGGTGCCGAGTTTTCCCCGCTCACCGGCAACAGGGAGGACTCACGAGCCGCCTCGCCAGCGCTCGCTAGTGGCCAAGAGTTTGCTTGTATTTGGGACACATGCCCACAATATGTACTTGATACAGGGCCCACCTCTACCCAGTTGCGCTTGAGCCGTGTCCGAGCTAGGTGGTTTGCATGCTCACCCTTCCTGCAGGATCCGCAGGACAGCCTCACGGATGCAGTGTGAAGCGGCTGCAGGCCTTGCAGAGGCCGCGTGGAACGAAAGCTGTTAAATGACCACAGCAAATGACTCGCTACAGGGAAGCCTTGCTGGGAAGCTGACATGAGGAGAGGTGATACTACGCTTGCCCACGCCCACAACCCTGGGATCTGAGAGCCCCAGTGCGCATTGGCCCAGGGTCGAGCCGCCGGAACCTGTCAGAGCAGCGATTCCTGCCAGGCGCTGTTGCGCTGTTCCAAGCTGCAGGGGGCTGTTGCCTTTGCACCCGTGGCCTGAGCGTGAGTGCTGGGTTTAGAGGTGGTGGCTGGTTTTGCAAATTGAGGTGTGTTTCTGTTGAAGCAAGCAAGAAGTGAACGATCTATCCAGAAAACATACGGCTTTTGGTTTTGCAAGTTTCGAATTCGGCCCGAGCCTTTGGCCTACGCAGTTCCTGGAGACCTCACCGGGCTTTCAAGCGGGAGGCGTGCACCACTCACCGGCCTAAAGTTGCCACTTGGTGGCCCTACGGCCAATGTGGCGGTGAGACAGTCACAGCAACCTGGAAAAAGGTTGACCTTTCTTTGCCCCAAGGTGCGTTCGATCCTTGTTTGGGCGAGGGGGGTTGGCTTCAAATGCCAAAGCTTGTTTGCTACTTTCAGGATGGGTATTAATGGGTGTAGTGTGCTATGCGGCTGCTTGAGCCCACTTAGCTCGTTATGATTCTTTATGGCTTTTGGCTCACGCACCGGCTTGGCCCTTGGTAGATGCGCTTTCACCACGTCGAAGGCGCCGTTGACCCTGCTGAGGGGCCTGGGTCGATTCGGCCGATGGCGAAGCCAGCGATGCCTTCACAGTGCGCGGCAGGGTGGTTGGATTGACCTTTCCCGCCGCGCGCTGCAATTGACATGCAGTGTCATGAAGAAAAGAACCGCGACATGTCGACGCGCCTGTTTTCGACTGGATTTGCAGGATGAATCAAGGGCAGGTTAAGGAGGCTCTTCAAAGAGCGTCAAGCGCCGTGAATGCCCGCTCAGGCTTTCTGGGCAACTAAACTGATGTCTGAAGTCTGACTCTAAAATTCAAGAGTGCAACGCATTTGAACATGCTAGCCTCTGAATTCCACTGGTTGGATTTGCTGGGGTGAGCGAAGAAATCAGTAGGATTTTCTCACCTTGAGCTGTTCGAGCCGCTCATTTGCCGGAACCCTCGCAGTCGCTGCAGCGACTGGGTCTATCTGTCCGGGCTGGGGCTCCCAGTGCGCAAGTCGCAACCATGCCAGCTTTTGCCGCGTTGACTTGAAGGCTGAAAGTTAGAGGTAGCTTGGCCGATATGCGCGCATGCTGAACGCCGAAACTGTGACATGGCGCATTTCGGAGCGCACTGGAACCTCTCTTTGAGATAGTGGATGCACAGCTGCACTAGCCGCATAGCTCAAGCCTGTTCCAAAAGCTTGCCACGATGCCCCGCCAAAAGGAGAATGCGCCTGTGCCGGTGCAGTTCAATCTGCAGGACTTGCAGATTGGGCGCCGCAAATTCCGCTCGGGTACCTCCGGGCCAGCCATCCATTTGCCGGCGGATCGCCTGCTGGGGGCGCTGCCGCAGGCAGTGCAGCGCTATGAGACCTTCGTTTGTGGAAAGATCATGTTTGGCAACCAACGCTTTTCCTTTGAAGTACGGGAATTGGATCGCTCTCCTCAGAACATCGCCAAGCTATTGAGGAAGAAGTGCGACCGAGAAGCGTATGCACCGACCTTCCTAGATATGACGTTGGCCACAATGCATTCTCCCGTGCAGTCCTTCCAAGTGAAGTTTCAGGATGTGGCGTCCATGGAGTGCCGCAATGTGAGTCAAGAATGGGAGCTTGTGTTGAAATTGAAAAAGCCGCTGTCATGCTATTCGAAGACCAATGGCCGAAGCTGGCAGACAGTGGAGAGCCCACTGGCCAACGCCAAGACCATTCGATGCGTCACAGCTCCTTGTGAACCCAAAAATGGGAGCGAAAGGCAGCTTCCCTTTGGGCAGGTCCGTGAACTTGCCATTCAATCATCGCCAGTTCTTGCGGCTCTGTTCGATGGGATAGCTGTGGCCCCGGTCCCGGTGAAGCAGAAGCGCAAGGCCAACGAGGATTCACCAGGCAATGTGACCAAACGCCTGAAGAAAGAGGCCCAAGGCTCCAAGAAGCTTTCGGTGGCGGACCAGCAGTTTTTGGATGTCGAGGCTGTGAAACTATCGTTGAATGGATTTGTTCAGAGCCTTGCAGAAACTGTGGATGCCGACTGGCATGACTCCTACGAGGAAACAGGTGAAATGCTTGGTGAATGGTTCGGGGAGTGTGGAGACCATGTCATGAAGGTCATCAAGGTAGCCACAGAGCTTGGAGCCGGCTTCGGCCATGCTCATGAGATCTTGAAGTGTGTCCATGACACATGGCTGAACATTACAGCCATTCCCTTCCGTGGGTGTCCTGAGGAGACCTTGAGAGATTCGGATGGGGTGGAGTTGGAGCTCGAGGAGCTGATTGGCGAACCGGTCAGGAGCATAAAGGACATGCTGAAGATCGTTTGGCCTCTGCTGCTGGCGCGAGCTGCCAATGACAGCAAGGTGTTGGATCTCACCTTGAATCAGATGCTCAAGGATGCTCATGACAATGGGGTCATCGATGCACAAGCGCCTCATGAGGGTGAACAGCATTTGCTGTCACCGTGTGGCAAGGCCATCTTGAACGCCATCGCTGGCGGCCGACGGCGCCTGGCACAGCTGGCTGCCAGCCAGGACTGGAAGAAGTGCCCCTGCACCGTGAAGAAGCACAGGATGCGTCGGTGCATTGATCGTCGCTTTGATGGTCCCAAGCACTTGCGCACGCGAGACTACAGTTCGGACTCTGAGTGCGGGTTATTTTGGTGAGGCCTTGGCATGCCTTTGCCCGGGCGCACGTCAAGGCTTCGCTAGGTTGGCACGGGCGGTTTTAAGATTCACGCGGATGGATTTCCAAGGTGCCGGTTTGTCAAATTCAATAGGGGATCCTTTTGGCGATTGTCTTACTTGCTAAACATGACCGGTTTGGGTGATCGTGGAAGTCATCAATGCAGCAAGCCAGGTGTCAATCCTTCCGCATGATGAGGAGTTCGCCCTATACATTCCTTTTAATTGTGTCGGGTAAGACTTGGGGTCCCCGGCACAGGGAACACGTGGAGGACGGAGGAGAGCAGTGCACAGCGAGCATTCAATGAAAAGAGTTGCGCTTTGCAATTCCCTTGTCATGCAAGATGTGGAACCTACCTGTTGCAATGAACGAATCTTCAAGTGAACGCTTGGGCGTCATGCAACTTGTTGCGCCGCATTCTTGTGGCGATAAGTTTGTGCGTGTGCGTGCGTACGTGCGTGCGCGTGCGTACTGAGTAGGGTCATGCTGTGATTGTCCCTGTCGTGCTGTCTATGTTTTGTCATAGGACGACGTGTGCAATCTGCTTTAGGTGAGTCACGCATCCCATCATTGAAATTTGGGCCATGCCCGAAACATGAAGTGCCTTTGCCTTAGGTGGTGCCTGGTTTTGATCGCGAAGCTTTTCGAAATGCAGGCGCGGTAAAGGGATGTGTTGATGCAACCATCCACTATTTGTGACTTTCACGTCACGACATGACACTTTCAGACAGGCTCTTTGTTGAAAGCATTTAAGTGCCCTTCGCCACAGGAGGAAAGTCTAGAATTCACCCAACAGGTAGTTGTGCTGGCCCGTTCTCATCTTCCTCAGTCACTGCTTGTGTTGTTTCAGCACCCCATTTGAGAGAAGCCTTGCCCGGGTGTCCTCGGCGCGGTGGCGCGGTTTCCGGCATCGGGGGGTGGATGCGAATCCTGATATCAGGTACCGGTAGCGCCGCTGGCTCAAGATGTCGCGGCTGTTCGTGCCAACGTGTGCATGAGTTTGAGCCCATTTGCAAGCCCCAATTCTGGTTTGTGCTAGTTAGCAACCCAAAGCCATTTGCAATTCCTAACAGACCGAGGTTGATGCCACCTGAGCCGACGGCTGGAAAAAAATGTGATGGCGGGAGCACTTGGAAATCCAAAATGAAAGCCGAGCGTGCCACGGAGCGCTAGCAATTGTGGATGCCGGTGAAGAATATTCATGCATGCTTATATCAACTGGATTCTTGCTTCTCGTGCTTTTTAGCTGGACTCAACCGACAAAGTGAAGCTATGCTGAGAGTTGACTGGATTAGCCACGTTGGTTTGTGTTGCGATCTTGGCAGGGCTTCCAACAAATATTATATATATATGCGTGTTACACATCATGTGCAGACCTTTTGCTGTCAGATTCTAGCTGCTTCACTTCTCCTATCACATGCGCCATGCAGTCCATGCATTTCATTGCGGTTTGTTCTTAGGCTGTGGATGCTGTGGCTATCGGCATCATGCATTTGGCAGGAACAGGCTCGAAGCTTAAGCGCCGGTGTAGCCAAGATGTCCATCCAAGTCTTCGACGACTACTTCAAGGATGGCTTGCTGCCTTTCTTGTTTGCTCACAGTTACATACGCCTTAGGACATCCTAACGGGGATGCTCAACGAAGTTTAGGTCTTAGGCAGTTCCGGAATGTCAAAAGCAAACACCATCCCAAGCAAGGCTGGCCCTATGCTCAAAGCAGCCGACAATTGCACGCGAAAGACTCGTTTCGCGATCCTTCGTGAAGAGCTGCCCAATAAGTGGGAAGAGCTTGTGTCATGCGCCCATCTGAGAAGTACCCTGGCTAAGCCATTGTATTTTGTTCAGTGGCCTTGGGAGGGCATCAGGCCCCTTTTTCAGCGGGCACAACCAGCTTGAGTTGGTATGTCCCGAGGAGGGCCGCAAGATTGTGACTGTCAAGGATGTGGAGCCTGACAAGTTCATCAAGGTCTGGCTGCGTTCCACTCCTTGAAGCGTCAACTTGCTTGCCTAGCAGGATTCGCGTGCACAGGCATGTTTACGCTTGCGTCAGCACTACCCAACTGCCGAATGATCACAAGGTGACTTTTTGTTCTGTTGGATTTGAAGGGTGGCCAGTCACCACCGAGAGTTAGTGCTGGTCTGTGTGTTTGGGTTTCTCCTCCGGGGAACGTGGCCGGTGCTTCCCCCAGCCAGGGTACTTCACGGCGCCGTCGGTCAGGCCTTCTCGCAGCACCTGAAGCGCCAGGGGCGCTTCGAGCTGCCTAAGTGGGCTGACGTGGTGAAGACTAGCACCCTGGCTCAGAACGCAGACCGGGAAAAGGCAAAGGAACAAAAGAAAGCTTGAGTTAAAATTCAAAGAACCGTACTCACTAGGATCAGTTCCCTGGGTATCCTTTTGCAGAAGTTAAGAATCACGATGAAACAACACAAAACAAGAACGGAATGAGCTAGCAAATCTCGGAGCTTAAGCCACGCATCAACAAACGGGATGTTTCCAAGAGCCTCAGGCTCACAAGCAGCCTGCCACCCTCCTATGTTTGCCTGCTTCTGGTTCCATGTTGTTTTCTATGTTTACGGAAGTCTGACTTGTCACTGCAGGCGAGGGCACTTGTTTGAATCTTTTCCCATGAGGGAACAGGCGATCATGCGAGCAATGCATGTAAGATACCAGGTCTGTGCCAAAGCCTGTAGCATAGCTTGAGTTGATTGTACCCCTCATGTGATCAATCCTTGGGCACATGGAAACCCGTTCGTGAATTTTTGGCACTCGCTTGCAGGCAAGTCCAAGGAGCTGCCACCTTATGACCCTGACTGGCTCTACGTTCGAACTGCCTCCATGGCGGGGGCCGCAGATTTCCTCCGGAGGGATGGGCTCATTGGCGCCTGCGCGGGATGCGACGATTTTAGGGTGCCGCATAGAATCGCGTGTGCCAAGAGGCGGTCTTATCTTGGGCTTTGCCTGAAGGCTTGCACTGGACATATCGCCCTGACTGCTGCAGATGAAGATAAGCCTGAGACTGAAGTTGAGCAGTTCTCAAGACTTGCGGCCAAGCCAGCAATGTTAGGTGTGCGTTTGGGCCATAAGTCTGAAGAGGCGTGCGTAAGAGTTCTTGCTGTTCCCTTGGCAGCCGCCCAGGTTCGAAAGGTGTACATTCGCAAGGGCATGGGCGTTGGTGCCTTCCGCAAGGCTCCCTGACTGCTTGGGCCATGGTCAATGCTTGGCGTCAACTGGAAAGCAAAGGCCACTTGAAGCAAATCTGCAAGTTGCAAGTGGATCCTTAAAGGTTGCACTGGGAAATTCATGTTGCCTTTTGAATCCAAGCCTGACGACTCTGGTAGCTCTGGTAGGTCTATGGAGGCCAGCAGAGACGAGGCACCTGCACCAACAAGTTCGTGAAGAGCTCCGGGAAGCTGGCCCGTTGCGCGCTCGGCATCGAGGGGCTGGAGCTTGCACTGAGCATGGTCAGCTCGGGGTGGTGGTAGACAGATAGACCCCAGATCGGTTGGGGATCCCTAGAGGGTTAGATTTTAGGTTGGATGGAAATCCCTGGTTTATAAGGTGGCTGAGTAGAGAAGCTGATGCTTGGGTTTGCTGATGGCATTCGCAGGAAGCTTTGTTAAAAGCCAATGCTGCATTTGCATAGATGTTGTTTCGCCTCCTACTGCGAGCAGGTTACATTTTGCAGCAATTGGAGGAGACGACAGTAATGAATAGCCTCCATGCCATTGTTGTATCGAGCAATATGCTGCGTGTAGCGTACTTGACATACGTCATGGTTTGCACAAGGAATTTGCAATCCATCCATTGCCATGTGACTGGTGGTGATGGCTGCACTGGCAGTCGTGGCCGCAGCTAAATCGTGCGCCAGCGTTCTTTTCCTCCGACATGATGACCTATTTTGCACCGTTTATGGCCCCGTTCGTATTGCAAACAGGCACCGGCATGATACTTTTTGTTACGGCAAACTTTGCAGTTCTTGGCTGGTTTGGAGGAGATGGGCTTGGTCGAGCAGGATGAGGAGGGCGGCCGCATGATCACCAAGGCGCACGAACAAGCGTTTGTGTTGACTACGTTTGGGATCTGTGCGGGATCTTGTGTGAGATTCTGACATTTTTTTCATTTCCAGGTTTACTACTTTTCGCTGGGGGGAAAGCAGGCGAATGCCCACACGAGAGCTTCTTAGGCAACACAGCTTTATGTCCTGGCGGTGAATTTCACAACTTGGGCCGTCGGCAGACCTCGACAGGTGCCATGTTCTTGTTCATTGGCACCGGGGCACTTTGTTAGCCGTGCCCTTCACTTGGAAACTCTGCATGATCAGCATTTCTTGGCATGGCAGAATTTGAGCTAATCAGGTGTTGGTTGGTGCTTTTTCAGCATGGACTGAGCTTAGGTATTAGCTGGTTGTCGGAGATTCAGGCATATTCAGAATAGACTTGTGTGTGTTCCGTTCCATTTTCTGCTGCGAATGGTGAAGTAGTGATATCACATATGATTCGATGCTTTGATATCGGCTGTTTCTTTTGCATTCGCTAGCATGGTAGTGGAATCACATTGGCATGATGTCTTGTAATGCGTGGCATTTGCTGGATGTTGGTTTTAACTGCATGCTATGGGTGTGTCAGCGTTGGTTGAGATTGCAATACTTCTTTGGTGGTGGCTGAATCTGTCATGGTGGTCGGCATTCACTACACAATGCCCATCTCGACAGTATTGCGACAGTTCAGTGGGACCAACTCGGTGACGCTTGTTGTTGGGCCACTTCGCCATGCGGGTTGCATTGGATTGCCAGGAGCCTTTCCATGGTTGGTTTCCACACGGTCCTCCCAGGGCAAGGTTTGTCAGCTGCAAGTGACCCCAACTTTACCGCCACTTTACCCAGTTGAGTGACGTTGAAAAATGGGACTATCAACAAAAGGGCCATCGGGTTTTGCTGCCGGTCAGGAAGGTCAGCGAGAGCTGGACACTGTGGCAGTGCAGGCCATTGCTGATGCTTGCCTGGTGTGAGGGTGCTTGAACATGGGAGGGACCCGCAATAGATATATATAAGTTTTTTTGGTGTCCAATTGAAACAACCCCGACAAGGGTAGCCACAAATCATGACCATGTTCTGAGTTCGGCATTCAAGATAAACCGCGGGGTGAACGTGGAGGTTCGTGCAGCTGCAAGCCTTGCTGGAAACATGGCTAACTACAAGGGAATCAAAGAACACCCATTTGCCCCGCGTCGCTCAGCCAGCAGTGTCACAGCAGCTTGCAAGAGATCAACGCCGCAGGCAGCAGCGGAAGAAGCAGAGGAGGAGGACTAGGGCACGGCTCTTACTTGGGTTCAGGTCGTTGACATCTGAATCTCAGCGCAAGGGCGAGCCTTGCGACTGCTGATTGCCATGCTTCACACCGCTGAGGCATCACTGGGATCACTGGGATCACGGCGCGGGCCAGAAAAGTACGGCTGAGCGATGCGAACGTAGGCCAACACTGGTTTCTTATCTTGAAACATCAGTGGCCATGAACATGACTTTTGTCATAGGCTGGAATTGAAGCTTGCTTGCAGTTCGGCATGTGAGCTGTCTACATTGACACGGCAAGTGGAAGTTTGCAGGTTGCATCACGTCAGCTGCAGAAGCAAAGAGGTCATTCTTGAATGACTGGACTTATTTGAGAGCTTCTTCGAACACATGCGATGAACAAATTGGAGGGGCGTTTGAGTGCAAGGGTGCGCATTCTAAACGCGCCGATTCTCCATGGCTCAAAGAAGGGCAGCTGCGATGCGAAGATATGATTGCCGTCCCTGTGGGCGTGTCACGGTCCTGCCTTGGTTCCTGGCAGGCAGGGCCAAGACCTGAATGTTTTGCCTGAAGCAAACCCCCTCAGAATTGGATTGTGGGAATTTTCATGTTTCAGGACATTTTCGAAGGGCTTGGACATGGACCAGACGTGCTCCTTCTTCATGTGCTGAAAGAGCTGGTAATTGTTTGGTGGGCCATGATGGCATGACACGCTATTCCATGCCAGAAACGCAACCTGATGACCTGATTCCTAGGAGTAGCTTTCAGCCCTTGCAGAGGCCACCATTTATAAGCCGCTTGTGACTCCCCGCCATGCGATTTTCACATCTCAACACCCCATCATAGCCACCCCACAGCCCAGTCAGGTGCCGCAGCCTGTCAAGCCCCCCTTGCGGAAGAGAGGCAGGCACACTGCAGACAGTGGATAGTTCATCCAGGATGTTTCTTGTTTCGAAGGTTGGGATGACCTCTTTAGGTTATCCGGCTGGCTTTCAGGGACTAGCAATCAACAATTATGAGCTGCGGATGGTCATTTTACCACAACAACACGACGCGCAAATGAGGAAATTCGAGGTTTTCTAGCAAACCTTGCGTTTGTCGAAAATCAGCCGCGCTGCCATGAACACACCACCCCTTCTCATGTTTCAATGTGAAGGAGGACCACAAACTTGTTCGGGAAGTGCTCGCGGTGGGAAATCTGCAACTGCACTCAATTGCTGGAAGGTTCACAAGGCTACTGGCAGCTGCTCTCAACCGCTGTGGTGGGGCGATGCCTGTTGGCCTGATGCTCAGCACAAGGCGTGCATAGGGATAATCCCTGCACAAAGGAGCGGACAAGATGGCTTCCAGAAAACGGAGGTGGGCGGGACTGGGACAGGCGTAGTTCTGTTGGATTGGTACTGAGCAACGCACATCTTGCTTATGTTCATGTCGGAACCTTCTTCGATGTCCATTGACTTGCGGGATTTCGGGCCGTCAAACAGGGACAAGCACCTACCCTAATCACTTTGCCAAGGCCCGGCGGTGCTCTGGTGCACGGGCCTCGTATGGAGTGGGGGGGGAGGCGTTGGCCGCGTTTGGCAGCTGGCTCTTGGAGGCATGGACCAGGCCCAAAACCATCAAGTGTTTTTCCTGGCATGCTTCCGCGCAAGCCAACAAGTGGGGTTAAAATGTGCACCGCGGAAGCTCTGAAGGGTCAGTCAGCCCATTCAAAGCCCAATGCTTTGAATCACAGTTTTTCCATGTGTGGAGCGCTTTGCAAAACTGGGGCAGCAAATCCGCGTAAGCTCCGTGGAAGCAGTGCGCAAGCTTTGACTTCAAACAATGTGGGACCCTAGCAACCCTAGCAAAAGCCGCCAAAGGGTACTTCGCGTATACGCCGTATTCGCCTGCATCCGACAGGGGGCGATCAAAACTTGCTCAAGCGACATGCTAGGCCCAACGCGTACCGGTCATGGGTGACTAGTGCATGCACTCTCGGAGGCTCGGGAGCCGCCGGTGCGGAAAACGCCTGTGAAGGAGGCGCAGAGGGAGGCACAATCAATTGCCCGCATGACTCTTCAACACTGAGAAACCTGCAGCGTGTTGCATAGCCAATCATAGCCATGATAAGTGGAGCAAACATTGGCAAACAGCCTTGCATTGAGTGTTGTCATGTGTCTTCCTCCGTGTTTTCATGGCCTCATAGAGTTTTATGTCGTCCCCCTTGCCCAAGCAATTGTCATATAATATGGCCTAGCCCTACCTCCAATCCATGCTTTGTGCTTTATCACGGGCTTGTCCAGGCCACAGCCGATTTTTTTGTTTTGTTTTTAAGACTTGCTTTGGATTTTGGCTCACGAGCTGCAAGCCGCAGGCTCCAGCGGATGAGCCTGTGGTGTGCTGCGCTGAGCTTTCCAGCGCTAAGGCATCTCGTGTCGGGTGTCCCTTTGCGATTACGTGAAACTGTGCCCTTGCCGTTTGGATTAGTGCTTTTTCGATCAAAGACTACTGGTGCAACCAAAGGCTGTAGCTTCCAAAAGCTTCCGACTCCCCAAGCCTCACAGTAAAGAATCGGGCTCCCGCCCTACACCGAGCATCAACCCGCCCCAAGATAAATCATCAACTTGGCCGTTGATACATTATAAGTTATAAGCCGCCCAGTGCCGCAAATCTCAACCAGCCCTGGAGCAATCCTAGCTGCACCCTCAGCCGAGTTTGCCTGCACGGCCTCAAGGACCACCCCGAACTGCGCAGCCCCAGCCCCCCCTTGGCAACTCGGCCCACCCTAGGCCGTAAGCCCCACTTGCACGCACAATCCCCACCATGAAGCCCACACATCATCTCAAACACTTTTAACAAAAAAATGAGCCTGATCCACTCACCGCAACCCCTAATTTAAACGCGAGCCCACCGCACTCCAGTCCTAAACCAAACCTACCCCCAAAAGAAGCCCAAAGATAACGAATCCTGAGCCCAGCCGAAGTCTTCCCAGCCCCCCACCGCCGTCGAAACTTGCAGCAACCTATCATTTCCCTGCTTCTAACCGAACCTCACCTGAAACGTAATCAATCCTAGACACCCACTGAGTCCATGCAAGGCATCTAAAACCACCCTCAGGGCAACCCTTAACCCAACAGAAACAAGGTGTGAACCACTTGAAAAGCCAGTCCAATCCAATCCTGACCCTGCCCTAGTTCACTCCTGAACCCATCCTAAAACGCCTTAGTAGGCTGAAACAAGCTCTTGTGTGTTTTTCTCGTCCGCCAGTGTTGGACGGCGAAAAAGGCGCGATTTCCCTGCTAGGCAGCCTGAAGCAGGGTTTCACAGAGGGAGCGAAGTTCACTGCAAAGTTTCCCTTTGCGTTTGGGTTTCCAGCGGAAAATGGGCCAACATAGTTTCCTGGCAGGGCCGCCTTTAGAATCGCCCAGGTCGGAAGAGCCCCCGCAGCAGAGTCCTTCTGTGGCCGAGCATGCCCGCCACGCCTTGACCAATTTCGAGCCACAGGGCTGCCAACAGATGATAGACCCCCGTCTCGGCGGGAGACCTCACATGATACTGACAGGATTGATCACATGTTGCCTGGCCACCCCTCCGGTGCCATTCCAAATTGGCTGCAGCCTTTGAGACGTGTGGCAGGCCAGTGGGCGGCAGAAAGGCTGCAGTTCCCTCCAAAGCTGCGGCCTCAGTTTCTGCCACTTTGCTTATTCAAGGCGTCCTTGAGCATCCGAGGATGAGGATCCACAGGATCAGCCTGAGCACGGCGCTCGAGAATGCAGTGGCAACACACAGCACATCGTGTCCCAAGAGAGGTGTGTGAACTGCCAGTATGATAGAAGTCACCCGGCTAGGGCTGCGATGAAACAGCTACTGCTGTGGTTTTCAGGTTTTTGCGTTAGCCTGAGCAGTGTTAGGAAGGCCTGCAGTGCCCCGGCCTATCGAGAGAGCGTGTGGGCATGTCATTTAGATGGATGGCTTCAGGCAAGCCACGAACGAATGCCAAGGCCAGTGCCCGCAATTGATGAACAGGCTGCAGACTCCGCAGACGCAGGGCGCTCATTTGCAAGCTTGCCCGTGGTGTCCGCTGAACTGGTTTGCAGAACTAGGGAGCGAAAGTGAGAGAGAGAGAGAGAGAGCGAGCGAGCGAGAGGGTTATTGGATTGTCCGGCTGCGATGCTTTGAGCTTTTCCGCTTGCGTAGTGCAGCTGTTGCAATGAGCCAACATTGCTACCTTCCGTGCGCAGCCATCGGGTTCAATGCCCGCTAAGTCTCTAGAAGTCCTACTCTGGCCATACATATCCCTGTCCATATCCGGTGGCCATGCGAAGAGGCTGGCAGTCGATGACGCGCATGCCAAACAAAGAACACAACAACTGGATCCGCCTAAAAGGATCAGTGTTGAGCAAGCGGATCCAAACATCCTAAGCGCGCGGTCCTTTGGCATTGGGTCAGAAGTCGCTTTATGAATCCTACTCCAGTCAAACACACACGATTGATTCAAGATCCGCGCACTTTGCTCGGGCGACACGCGGCCACTTGCCTTGTGCCAGGCGTGCCACTGTTTTTTATATGCCTTGCAGCGGCGGATGAGGCTGGGACGACTGCTCACAACCCAAAGCAGAATCGAGGCTGTGAAGTTCCCAGGTAGCAAGCAAGACTGCTCGAAGGTCATCAGTGCAGGACAATCAAATTGAACATTGAAGGCTTGAAGGTATGCTTCAAACAGAACCGGCCCAGAAAAACAATAGTCAGGCGATGACAACGTCTTGCAAAGCCCTGAAATCAGGCAATTTGGAGCAACAGCTTCCTTTTATTGCTCTCGCACTGTTCGTGGATGGTTCACTTAAAATGTCAGGGGATCATTGTTTGTGTTTCGGAGACCGCAACTCGGCCAGTGTTTGCGAGGCCAAAGCCACCACTTCGGCTGATCTGTCCCGCGAGGCGGTTTGTCTAACATGGACATGTTAAGTGTCCTAGACTTGGAAGAGGCAAACCAGAGTCAGCGTGTAACTACTCAAGAGGGAGAAGAATATGGGGAGGCGACTCCAGCCCTGTTTGGGCATGTTTGGGCTGGACTGGTTGGCTGTAACCCTTTGATCCTTTCAAAGCAAGCGAGCTTGCTTTGACGTATTTGGCATGCTGAGTCACAACAACCGCAAAAGACCTGAGTGGAGCGGTTGCGCCACCGAGCCTCGACCTGTTGGGCGTAATTATCCTCAAATCTAAACATTGACGGGCTGCCGGGGCCTACGAGAGTCATATATAGTCATGGCGTTGGCTGTTCAGGGCCCAAAGGCTTCAAGCGAGTCGACGGACTCCGCTTCTCTATGGCATGTTCAAAGCCAAAGAGCAAGCCGTGCGGCAAAAGTCACACGCCGGCCAATCTGCAGGCCAACTCGAGCCAGTTCACCAAGTCCTTACCTGCTGCGATGCTTGGCCTGCATTGGGGCGGTTGTGAGGGCCACCTCGGCTTTGAGCCCGGCAAAACATTGGGAAGCTGCGGTTCTTGGCTGGGTTTCGGAGGCGTGTGCCTTCTGAACATCATGTTTTGCCCAGGAAATTCATCTCTGCGGGCAGCACAGCTGCAGCCACTTCCAATACATCCAATGTTGGCAGCACTGCCACCATACCCGCGGCTTCAAAGGCCTCGGCGACGCCCAGCTTGAGGAGCAGCGCCGGGCGCGAGGGGAACTTGTTGGGCCTGCCGGGGTCGCCAGCCAGCGAGGTGGCTGGCCAGGGTGCCGCAGTCGGACCCGTGGCCACTGTGGCACCCGCGGTCCCTGCAGCGCCAGCGGCACCAGCAGCACCAGCTGTGGCAAGCGCACATCCTGCACTGGTGCTAGGGGCAGTTGATGGTCGGTTGGGCCAGTTGAAGGTGAGCCAAGTCAAGAGAGAGACGACCGTCACCTCGGTCCAAAACGCCAGCGACCTCGCAGCGGGTGTGCGTCAAACGCCAAAAAGCGCAGAGCCAAAGGCTGAAGCCAAAGCTGCGGCTGCCTTGCCAGGAGCTGGCGTGGTCTCAGCCACGCCTGCAACCTTTGCACGCCTCGCAGATGCGAAGCCTGGACAAGCTCAGCTGAATGTGCACGGCCAGCCAGCTGTGGCTCAGAGGAAGCCCGGCCAGGCAGCCGTGATGCCAGCACTCACCGGAGCACCGAGCAAGGCACAAGCCAAATCACTGCCTGTGAGGGCCAAAGATGTAAGAGAGACTCTCAGAGCCCCGAACGGTGGCACTGAGGCAGGTAAGTGGGGATGCCTTGGGCGGGATAGGGAGTTTGGCTCAACTCAGGCTGCCAGGAAAGCTCTGATTCCAGCTTAGTGCCCCAATGTACCCCTGGCCCATATCCAAGATGCCTTGTCAACCCTTCGGGAGAGGTCGTGGTTGATCTATTCCTGGACAATTCTGTTTAAATATGATGCGGGCTTGAATGAGCCTAGAAAAAGGCGGTAACAGGGCACGGATGCCGCGCAGGCTGCCGAACGCGCTGCGGTCCCAGGCGCATCAACGGAGAGAGACTATGGCTAAAGGTGTAACCGACGAATGACGAGCTATTAGTCCAGTACAGCCCGCAGAGCCGGTTGTCGGACGTTTCTAAATATAGGCTATAGTTGTGTTGATCTCCTTGTTTCTCTAATTATGGACATATGATACATATGTGTTTTCTCTTGTTTATTTTGGTTAATGTTGCGCTTTCTCTTTATTTGTGTCTCATCTGACCTTTCTTGTATCTTGCTTTGCTTATTAGTTGTCCCTTTTGTTTTCTCTCATATGTCATAATAATATATTGCTTTTACATTTATCTTTGTTCTCTTTCTTTTCATTTGTCTCTATGTTTATCCATCCACTCTATGTTATTCTACTCTATCGATCTATCGATATACCCATCTATTAATATTTAGATAGATACATCCATTACCCAGTCTAATCTATTTAATCTATCTTTCCAGCTGTCTATCTATCTAATCTAATCTATTCAATCTATCTAATCTAATATGATCCAATCTCATCTAATCTGTCTATCTATTTATCTATCTATTTGTCTGTCTATCCGCCAATCCGTCTATCCGTTTGTCCGTCCATCCCTCTAATTGTCTATCCGTCTGTCTATTGATTTACTGTTGAAAGTATATGTCTATTTGTCTGTCGTTCTGTTTGTTTTTCTTATCTCTCTCTCTCTATGTATGTTATTTACTTGCTTACCCAAACAACAACCACACATTGATTCATGTAGTTGTGTACTTATTTTCGTATTCATCCATCTACTATTTTCGTACTTATTTTCGTATCTATTTTTCTATTTTCACTTTCTATTTGTCTACTCTCAGTTTCTATCTATCTATCCATCTATCTATCCGCCTAATCTAGGCTAACCTAATCTACGCTATCTTTCTACTTGGCGCCTGTCAGGGTATCCATACCTGACCTTGCGAAAGCACCGCCTGGCACAAAATCCGCAGTTGACCTTGCGAATGTGCTGCGCCTGCCACGAAATCTATACCTGACCTTGTGAAGTGCTGTGCCCGTCATGTAAACTCATGTTGCAAAAAGAGCGCGCGTCCGTGCCAATGGGCCCAGCGCCGTGCCCGCTGCGCCTCCCCGGAACACGCGAAACACGCAAAGGGTGATCACTTTGAGCACTTTCTATCCCCAGGAGTGCCTGTCACGCAATCTGAACACTTGTCACCTCTTCTACTTTCCTCGTTTCCCTTCTCTTCTCTTTTCTTCTCTTGTCTTCTCTTCTCTTCTCTTCTCATTCCGCTCTCATCTGCTGGCCTGCGCTTGGTGCAGGTGCTACGGAAATGCCTTCTAAACTTCCTTTGGGCCTAGCGCTTCTCTGGCAAGAAGGAACTGTCGGATATTTGTGCGACATTGCATGCGCGTTTTTTTTTTCCTCGCCAAGCAAGACACGCTCTTCATTTCTATGAAGCTCTCAGCTGAGCCTCAGATCGGAGCCACACAGCACAAGCGCAATCCTGCAATGGCAATGCTCTGGTTCAAGTTGGGCTGGTGTTTGTAGCAGAAGGCTTTGGAGACGCAGCGCTCTCGCGCCAGTTCCCTCGGTGAACGCGACAGCGCCGGCCTACGGCCTGGAATGGCACAGCTGGCACGCACCTGGGATTGCATAATAATATGGCGTATGTGCCCGGGAGGTGTGGAGTGGTGGGATTGACATGCCCAATGCGTTTATGAATGAAACTTAATGAAGAAAAACGCAGGAAATGCGTTTGTGATTCCAAGTCCGGGTGTCGCCCTTCTGATGCAGTTCATAGTTCAGAACCAGATCCTCTGTTTGCAATAGCGAGGATAGGAGGACCACTCGGACTCCGTTGGCCTCGGCTGGCCCCACACTCTTTGATCCTCGTGACATCCCGAGGTATGGAGGATTTGGCCTCAGCTCGGTGGGTTTGAGAGGCTGCTCACAGGCATCACCTTCATGTCTATGCTGAAGGCGGCCTCGAGTGCTTTGATGCTTGGCATGTGCTGCCGCCCTCCCCCGCATGTGCTGCCCCTCCGCCTCCCCCCCGCTCCGCAAAGCAAAAAACGCTCTGTTTTGCATTCGGCCGCGCGCGTTTGCAAGGCTTCTGCAAAAAAATATGTTTCATGCAGGACTAGATCGATGGGTGAACCTTTGCCATTTCAGTCAGACAAAGGTGAGCTGAGATGTCTTACACCGGCTGCTGCAGCATGCTCGCTCTCGCTCTCTCTCCTTCTCTCTCTCTTTCTCTCTCTTTATCTCGCTCTCTCCCTCTCTTTTTGCAATCCTGCAGGCACTTTGTATGGCACCTTGGCTTCAATGAGAGGAAGCCAGTCAGCAGGCTCCACAGTGGCGATGCACTGGGAGATGCGACCGAGTTACGCCTGCAGCATGCGCATGTCAAGCAAGCGGTTGTTCTTCTGTGGTCAGTAGGGCAGCCGGAGGTTAGTATGCCAATACGTGCCTGTCTTGAGCCGTGGTTTGATTTGGCAGCCCGCGTTAGCCTGAGGCAGGCAACGTCCTTGTGCAGATCACCCCCTACCCTCAGGCGCACCTGTTGCCCCACAACCCAACCAAGTCAGGGAGCAGAGGTGCACCCTGCATGGCTGTGGCTGAAGTTCATTTCATTTGCTGTCATGCATTGCCAAGAATGATGGCACCAATCATCCCCTCGATATACATGTTTAGCAGCCGCTCCAAATAACAATATCTTTTGTGGTCCAATCCCACAAGCATGTGCATCCGTCCTCACCTGCCCGGGTCATTGGTTGGGTACCAAATTTGTTTGAGTTTCTTCTTGGATGGAACAAGGGGGATGTGTAAAGGCTAAAGTATGCATATACTGTTAAGTATATTTGGGGTTTAGATTCTTCCGATGCCTTCAGGTGCAGCGCTGGGAGGCGGAAAGCTGCACGGGGGACTCGGACGCGGCGCCCTACGCGGCTCGGGTGAAGAACTTGGCGTGTGTTTTGAGGCTACCCTTGTGTTTGGTTTGAAGGGGAATCTTCCCCCTCCCCCCCCCCCCCCGCATTTTGCGGTTGTCCTTGTTTGGACATACCCGGGAAGCAGAATCCGAAGCACGTGTGAAGTTGATCGTTTTCTGTTTGACTCGCCCGATGTAAGGGGGTCTGAAGGACCTGCGAAAGGAAGTGGATTTCAAGGATGCAATCGCGTTGTGTGCTTGTGACAAGTTTCGACCTTGCATCTTGAACTTGCGGCAAGAGCTGTCCAGAGCTCAGTGTCATAGGCCAGATTGATTCACGTGCTCTTCTGCAGCTGGGCCCCGTGCAGAGCTTTAGAGCGACAAGGGAGAACATATAGCCTCCAGCTGAGTGCTAGCCCTTCCAAGGCATCGCACGACACGACTCAGAAGGGAAACCTTGTGTTTCCGTGGTGCAGCTGTTTGGTGCCAAGGGGCTCATGCATGCTTGGAATGGCTCTCAATACTCCTACGACTTTTGCGGCTTTCCAACTGCATGGCCTAGGTGTCCATTGCCTTTGGCGGCTGGCAGTGGTGCTATTACGGCCCCTCGGGCACAATGCATCGGAGCTGGCTGGCGCCAGTTTCGTATGATTTAAGACAGGCCATGCCGTTCACATCTCTGGGGTTGCCACCCTCACTGCAACATGTTGCCAAGTTCTGTCCTGTTCAGCGACTTGTGTTGACCAAATCCGCTTGCTGACTTCTTGACTAAGGACTCTTTGCATTTTTCGTTACAAAGCGGAGCGGCTTTTTGATCCTCGTGCACTCGAACTGCCTTGGGGCACTGTTGGGCACCTACTACTCCTTTACGTTCTACCGCAACTGCCACACGGTAAGCACAAAGACATGTCATGTCGCCTACATTCGCTGATCAAACGAGGCGCTTAAGGCCTTCCGGCCCAGCATTTGAAGAGTTCAATGATTGACAGGCCAGCTCAATCACAGGTTGTTCCAGCGGGGTATTGCCTTAAAATAAAAATAAAAATGGGGGGACTCGTTTGATCAGCGCCATTTTGTTTTGCTGGCAGCCGGGCAGCCGCTTGCAGAGCTTCAGAACGTGCCGAGGCAACCACAGCCACTCCTTGGGCGCACTTCAGAGGTACATGAGTGCTGTGGTCATGCGACTGGTCCGCACTGAGTCTGACTTTGTTGGTCTACGGGTTGAGACCGGAAGACATGCTTCACCTGGGGATCCATGTGAGTTCGCGGGAGGGAAACTTGTTCAATTGGGTTTTTCGTTTTTTCGAGTCGGTCTTGGTGGTTTGCACTTGGAGCCTGCCTTCCTTTGCTTGGAACTTTTGGACATCGGGACATCTGCCATCGGTTTGAAACTGGCATGAGTTTGGAACTGGCATGGGTTGGCAGAAGCCTCCACTTGATTGCAGCACGAAGAGACGGACGCGGCGAGGTATCCGTCAGGTTAAGCCTCTATCATGCACTAGGGTGCAAATAAGTAGGTCTTGGAATCCTTGGCCGAAGTAAAGCTCCATGGAATGCGCTGCTCGCGAGGATGGTGGTGTTTCAGCTCTGCGCTTTGCCAGTGCTGCCGGTGGAGCGTGCGCTCTTCTTGACAGGCGCCAGCCTGAAAGGAAGAGGAAGAGCGGGTTTGTGAAAAGGAAGGCTTGCTGATTTAGAGGATCGCTTGTGAAAGAGGTGATTTCTGAAGAGTGAAGCAGCATGTGTTGGGAGGAGCCCCCGTCCCGAACCTTGGGAATGGCACGAGTTTACCATTTCAACCAGGTCAGTCTTGCCGATTATACCGTTTGCAAGCTCGCAGTTGCCAACATCCGGAGGCTTAATCTCCTCCTTCTGCAGCTTCATCGGAGCCATCTCCATTCTGGTTAGCCTGCCCAGGGTGGTTCAGACCAAGGCATGCAGACTTGACTGGCTGTTGGAAGCACGGGAAAAGTCCATGCTCACCTGGGTCCCCGTTGGTTAATCTTGACCTTGCAGCAACAAACTTGAGCGCAGAATTGGACAGATCGCATGGTGCAGTTTTGATGTGGACAAGCTATGGCGTGGTGGAACTTCAGAATGATGCAAATGAATCAAGCACAGAGATTTACAGCAGAATAGCTTTGGGAGTAATTCGCGCTTATGGCTGGAATCTTGATACGCCACACCTTTCCATTGCAGCAGTCAGAGGACAGCAGTCCTATCCCACTTCCACTGGTCTTGGCCAACCTCATCAGCTCGTTGGCTGCTTGGCAAAATGAAACGCGGAGCGAGGTTAGTTTTTCACTGAATCTGGTGGCTTCTAAGTTTCCCCGTGTGCTACAGGTCCGGCATTCCTAAGATTCCTAGGTGATCTACCAGATCACTTTCAGGGGGCTTTTCTTTCCGGTGGAAATCCGGCGAATGGCCCATGTGGAGAGCATTAGCTTAGCAAGGTTTGGTGCGTTTGCGGCTGGATGTTGGCCGATCCCCTGATCGCTGCGCCGAACATTGTGGGATGCCTCTCCTGCTCCTTGCACGCATTGGCGGGAGGTGCCAAACGAGCGCATTCAGTTGTTGAGCGCGTGCCGCGTAAAATCATGAACATCTCATTTGGGGCAATCACCTTGCAAAATTAAGAGCTTTGGAACAGTATAGCATGCCCAGACTTGTTCAAGGATAGAGCTCCGGCCGGTCCGCCGTAAGGAAACAAGGATGCGTGCTGACCGCGAATCCGATTCTGCCACCCTTTTCCTAAGTTCAACTGTCAAAGATAGCTGGTATGCAATACTGGGTGCCGAATCGCCCATATTTTCTGGTTTACCGAAAGGCAAACCAAGAGGAGATGCCAATATTTGCCCAGACTCCACAGACCCCCCCCAATTAGGACAAATTATATTTGTGTTCTTGTTGAATTCTTCCTCTGCCTAGCAAGGCAGGTGTGCGCGGGAAGGGTGCGCAAGATCACATGCCTCAGAGTGCAGCAAGGCCAGCTGACGGCGCAACAAGTGTTGGGCTTCTGTTTTGAGTTAGGAGTGCCGATTTGCAAGCTTGTGGTTGGAGAATTGGATAGGCCGAGGAACTTCGCAGTAGTCCTCAAACATGCGGTTCTGAGGTTTGATATGCGTCCTCCTGAAGCACATGTATCCTGATGACGGGGCTACAAAGCGGCGTGCCTTGCTCGCAAAATCGGCTTCTTCTGTCAACCTTCCGCGCGCTATGCAAGCAACTTCACGAGACCATACACACCGCATGGTTTGATGTGTGGCTACGATTTCGTTTGGAATGCCACCTCAAAATGGGTTCCTGCGATGGTGCCCTCAAGATTCGCTCCCAAGGATTTGCACAATTGGACGGTTCATTCCTGCCGCCTTGACTCAGGCGACTCGAATCGAGAGTCCGCGTGCCTCACGCCCGCAAGTGTCACAAGCCGTCGCCATGTGCAGGCTTGGCCACTAGCACAACGACGGGCTTTAGCAGCTTTAATAATTTGGTAACTTCAACAATGAGACAGTTCCAATCTTAGTGATTTGTTCGATGTCGGGTGTGGGCTGATTGCTCGCGATTCTCCATTGGAGCGGTGTGTGGCATTTTCTCCCCATTTCCGGTCAGAATCAGGGGGGCAAACAGCATGACCCCCCCCACGGTTGAGCCAAGAAGCAGCGATCATAGGTGGCCTCTTCATTTGTGACGCCAGTAAATAGGGAGTTTCCAGGTTTAGAGGGAACCCCGGAGTACTGCCAATCGCGTGCCCCAGGATCGAATATGCCACGGAGGTCCAGATACAGAACATGCAATGTACATGTTAACCATATCTGCCAGCGGGCTACCTAGGGTCGCACGAGTAAGTCCTTAGATGCTGTCGGGGCGGCCTTGCAACCGGCAGGCCAGGGCCATCCTGAAATCCATCACCTACCAGTCGTGCGACACGGGTGGCACCATGTGACACGTGCTCCGAGGCATCTTGGTTAAACAAATGACGGGGCGTTGCTTGATTCGAACGTGCCGAGGGTTTCATTGAAAACGAGTCTTGGACTTTGAGCTGTTCGCGTTTCGCACTATGAAATTGTTTAACTAGCTCCGAATGATTCTTGCTTGTTGGCTTGCGACTTATTGGGTGTTTCCGACCCCTAATGAATGTTGCGCTTTGCCCTATGGGTCCAGGCCAGACAGGGCATGAATCGTTTGCATTGCACGCGCCTGCTTGCAAGACGTGCCGGCCTCGCATTTTGAGGTGCGCTGCCTTGGAGAGGGAGTGAGGTGACGCGTAGCCAATACCGAACACCAAACCCGGGTTTTTCACAGCACCTGATGTGCTGTTTGTAGTGACGGCGAGCTTGTGGTATCTTGTGGCCTTGTCATGGCCAAGAAGACCGCTCCAGCGGCCACAAGAAGCCCAAAGACATGTACAAAACTCGCTGGGAAAATGTGAAAGTCAGCCTTTACTATGCCTGCCGCTTTCAGTGTGCGCCGGGCTGTTCAAACTCTAGCGAGGTGGCACCGCAAGCAGCTGCGCCAGAATCGCCGGAGGACAGGCATACAACGGGTGGCCTCCAGATTCTGGCCTCGTGGGGCCAGTGCATTCTTGGTGCAGGCACTTTGTCATGGGAATGTCGTCCCCAAGTTAGCGGAATTAGCATGGCGGGGTGGGAGGTGAAGCTCCGGAGATCCTGCATCCGTTTGTGAGCTGCACCAAGAGGTGGCCACATGGGTATGCGTCACGCATATATGCATTTTCCTCATCAAACTGTAGCATGCATTTCTGTGCTGCATACTGAACCCCTCGCGGACTTTTTTCCCCATGCGAGGATGTCGCCCAGGAGCTCGGCTCGCAAAGCTTCAGAGAGGCCTGGCAGTGCCCTGGTCAAGGGCGGTCAGGAGACATGCGAGTGTCATGAACAGGCTGAAGGAAAAGACGAGGCTGAAGAGCTCGAGGACTGTGATGCTAACATGGCAGTCCAGCAATCGAAAGAAAGAGGGAACTGATGTTTATGTCGCCGGTTGGTCAAAAACAACTGTCTCGCATATTGTGTGCAAAAAAAGTGTATCGTTTTTGAAGCAAGACGCATGCGGAGATACAAGAAAGGCCATCTTGGCAGCTGGAAGGTTTTGCAAGATGAGGCGGCAGACACAAACATTCGGGCATGACGGATGACGACCTGTTATGCACCAGGATGATGAGGCTGCTTTCGAAGAATTGGACGAGGTCGGGACCGATACCAACACTTTCAGTTTTAAGCGAGGCGCTAGTTGCAAGGATGGTTTTATGGCCATGATGTGCCATTTGTACAATCGCCGTTTTCTGCATACTATGAGGGGAGCACCTGTCAAGCACCTTGCGCTGTGTGTTTTTAGATGAAAGCACAACTTGGAATTCGCTGGTTGTTTCTTGCAAAGCAGGCGGCTTTCAGGTTTGGAAGCTCTAACTAAAAGTGGCAGGCGGTGGGTTGCAGCTGTAAGTGGCTGGTAGGGCTGCGGGGAGGGGCTAGCACTAGCAGGGCACCACATGTTGGCGAATTGGGCTGGGTGTGTTTGAGGGAAGGAACCAAGAAAAACATTGTTTGTCGTGCAACCAGCGGTTTGCTGAGAACAGGACGAGGAGGAGCTGAATGACCAGGCACCGCGGTTGGCTCACATATTGTTGTTGCTTGGGGAACTTCCAACATAGTGGTTTACTGCTTCAACGCCCCCCCCCCAAAAAAAAAAACAAAGAAAAAAGAAAAGAAAAGAAAAGGCAACATCAAATAAAGCGAGCCGTGTTCGGCAATAAGAGCGCCGGGTGAAGTGTTCCAACCCATGCGGACCTTCTTCGACTTGCTGGTTGTCCAAAGCGCAACCCCGGAGGCCCAAAAGGGTGATGTGTAGTGCCCGTCTGCCGGGGTTTTTATTGGGGCCCTGCCCTGAACCTCTGCAATTCCTCTCCGAGCCTTGCGCGAGGTGGAGCGGCTTATGGGCCTGGAGGTTTTCATGACGGGCCGCAAGGCCAGGTCCAACTCCTGTGGACGTGGCGATCACGGGACGTGAGGCTGCTCGAACTGGAAGATGTGCTGAGAATGCCATGCCTACCGTTGTTTCCCCCCCCCCCCCCGCGTGTTTTTTTGAAAGTTTCAGTAGGCAGGTTGCGGTTTCATGGCTTGACGCCTGAAAGTTGGCTCGGTCGTTGGAAATGGGGCGATGTTGTTTGTGACTCAATGTTGCCAATGGGTCCACAACCTGCTCGTCTTCGGTTTCGGGCTTGCCTGCTTGCCATTTTTTGGGGCCTACGGCAAAGATGGCGCACGTTCTAGAAACATGGCCAGTTGCGTGGACACATGCATCGAAACATTGCAGTGCGTGCAAGATTTAAGGTTAAGGGCCAAGCCATGTGTAGGGTCACGCGGGATTACGATGGATTACGGTCAGGGCTTGACCCAGTTCAAGGCTCAAGTCTCCAGGGTTGATTTTTGGGAAGGTCAGCAAAAGCGCGAACACAAGACATTGCTTCCTTGCGCAGGGTGCATGCTGTCAAGATAGTTCAAGCATTGCGAAATGGCAATACATGAGCAATCTCACCCACTTTGGGTCTGAAGCCCCTCCCACTTGCAGTTCCATTTGCATGTGAAAGGCGACCACCCGGGATGCCATAGCATTGCAGAATGACCTAGGGCACAGGCGTTGTAAGGCTGACATTGGAACTGGCTTGTTGGAGCTCACCCATCGGGTTCTTTTGTGATATGGATATTCTGCACATTGGACTGTTTCTTGACAGTCTCAAGGCTTATTCATTCATAGTATGCGTGGATGTGCCTAGAGCTTGTTGCTGTATTTGGTGCACATCGCAGGAGCCGACTCCTCCCCCAGAGTTCTGTGGCAACCTGCAGGCATCTGAGGAGGCCCAAGTCTATTGGGGAGGTTCGTGTCATGCAAGGCCACGGATGATTTTCTCATGGTTGTCATGAGGCCATTACGTGGGTAGAGAGGTCTTTCGGTGTATTTTGCTTCGCCGAAGTGCTCCGGGTATGTCTACTCGCATGCTGTTGTGTCGGGTTTGGGGCTTAGGGGACCCACAGCGAGGCATAGCCAGTAGGCGGGTGCCAAGAGACTCCATTTGAGGCTGCAGAATGTTGAGAGGCCGTGTGGATGGCAGGATTCGACCGGCGGAAGCTTCCTGTCAGGATCTGCCAATCTGCGAGATGCGAGCCGAGATTCAGCAGGCTGTTGGAAAGCCAGGACCTTGGATAGGGCGGCTTGCATGGCAATGCAGCGAGTTGTCTTTCAAAAGGATGTACTATAGGGGCTTGCCCAATCGACCGCTGTCTTGATACTCCAGTCAGACGTAGGGCCTGTGGTCATTAATATGCTGGATGGATGCTTTTTCCACGGGGGAGGGGTGGGTGTCCTCTCCATCATGCACGGCCCAGCAACCGCGTGACGATCATTGTTGGCGGCACTGGCTGTGGCAAGTCCACACAGGCGGGCTGGAGAGCTAGGCTTCAAAGGAAATCAAGACGAACAGCATGGCATTAATTGCTTGCTAACACTTTGCAAAATGTGCACAGGGCCAAGTAAATTGGTCGAGTCTGCATAGCGTGCAATTTTCATGGGAGCTATGCTTGGCCCCACTGGCTCGAGGCATGTTCATGTTGTTCCTGTGGCGTTTCAGGTTGTGGCGAGAGAACAGCGTGGTCAGACCGGGCAGCGCGTCTCATGTCGTGAATCTGCTGGACAGGTGCCAAAGTTCCTCGTGCAGGAGGACGGGGCCAGGGTTCAGCTCGCCTGGTCAGTTCCTGGCATGCCGAAGAGCATGCTAGACATGGGCTGTCCAACATATATGCGTTTGCTTTTGGCTCTGGATCCTTCTTTTCCTTGCGCTTGCTGTCGTTCTTTACGCAACCTTCAAATCCTGCTCATCGTCTGGTTTTGCCTCCGGGCACAATTGGTTTGCATAAGCTCCTTGCCTTTTGAACCGTTGCTGGTTATAAACCCCCCCAAAAAAAGGAAAGGCCTGGGGACACTTGCGGTCCAGGCTGCTGCGAAGCGCACTCCTTGCAACGTCATGGTGACACAGCCGCGGCGTCTTGTCGCGCGCTAAGCTTGTGGTGAGGCAGAGCTGGAAGCTTGTAAGCTCGAACATTAATTGAGCTGGCACCAGAGTTGAGTGTTCACGTGGAATTGCAGTGGGAGTGACAGAAGGCAGTCATCACTTCACGAAACAAAACGCGTGGCCGGCTTCCACTGTCGGCAAGGACTTTGATGCGCAGCCAGCAGGGTAACTTGAAGGCCATGCTATATGTCCCAACTGGGGATCAACCGGGGCAGTCATTCACGTAGCAGAAGCCAAGGCCGCAACGAGCCTTGCAAGACGAGTTGCTGAGGACCTGGGATTAGGAATTCGATGTCCTTTAGCATGTTCGCATTATTTCTGCCGAGAGGGTTGATATGCATTTGGCACGATGGATCTCCAGTGCTAGTTTGTAGTATTTTGGCCCATATTATGGCCAATCGCATACTTTTAAACCACTGCTCAAGTTGCATCGTTCGCCCATGAGCTGGTTTAAGGGGAACGTGTTGTGAATTTCCTCTTGTCCCTGCTTCAGGGCATTCTTAGTCCGGTTATTAACCTAACCCCCTGAAGCACATGTCCAGAAGATGGTGATGCCTTCCTTTGATTTTGTCACAACATGGATTGGCAGTCACGTTTTGTTGGTGTGGTTGGTGCGGGCCCGTCGCAGATACTTCTGGGTCGGTCTGTCACGCGTCTACGCAGCAGGAGCTAGACCTGACCATGGGTGTGGAGGCGGTCCCGGGGGGGGCACTGAGTTGGACCAGCCATGGACCATAGCACAGGAGCGCTGCGGGAAAGTCAGATTGCCAGGTGCCGGGGAGGCTGCTTGAATGGAGTCCTGTCCTCCTCAGTTGTGTGATGGTGGGTGGTGAGTACGGAATGACGAGAGCTGCTGCCAGCTTGCTTGCCAGGGTTCCTGGGCAGCAACAGTGCAGCAAAATGCAAAGCTCACTTGATTGAATTTTGAAAATATGCTCCCCTAAACCAGCGAGCAGCTTTCTGATGTGATGTTGAACACTATTATTTGTAGCGCAAGCAGCCCTCTGACTCCTGTGACGGTACAATCGCAAACGATAGGGATACTCTGCTTCTTGGAGATTCGCAATTTTCAGTATGGTACCGAACCCTTGGCACAGGTGGGCTACAGGATCCGCGGCGAGACTGCAAACTGCTCAGAGCGAACCAAAGAGCAAGTGTGTTATTGAGGGTACCCGGTTTCTGGCTGTTTCAAAGGGAACCCAAAGATCAACACCGAGTGTGGGTGGCCCTATTGTGACACATAATGCCCAAGTACTGTACTGAGCCGTTTGCAAGAAGCACAGCTTTCTCAACCTTTCGACTTTCGACCTGTCTGCGAACAACGGGTCCGGTCCATGTTTAGTCAGGGCCCCAAAAGCTTCACTTGGCTTCTGGTGTTGCTGGGCAAGTGAGGCAGCATAAAGAGGTTCGCCTTCGACCTTGGCTGCTTGCGGTTTTCAGTGTCAGCACTTGTGCAATCTCGTGCGCATCAGTGTTGTTTAATCACCCGGCCGGAATCCAACTCTTTGTGTGCCGGTCGGGACTCTCCCATTTGGCTGCGTCCTCAGGTGCCCGGAGATCATATCTCCTTCGTGACTGCTGGCTATTTGCTGAGTTGGTGTGGGAGCCTGGCGCGTTGTTTGCTTCTATGATAGGCTCGGGCCATTGCTGTTCCATGTGCTGCCTTGAGACTGTGTTGCTTTGTTATTTCCTAAGGAAGCCTCAGTCATTTGTGGGCATCGTGGCTCACTTTCCGTATTTTTGTTTAACTGGTTGTGTACAGATATGCATCATTTTGTCCTGTATCAACTGGCACCTTCGCCACAACCGTTTAAAGCCCGGCTCGGTGTCTTTGGCAGTTTCACTGCGGTCCAGGTATTGAACATTTGCCCCAGTCACAACATGCATGGCTGAAAAGCAACTGCCACCCGCACAATACCCAAAGCAGATCCAGGATGCTGGAAGGGTCGAACTAATTAACATGTAATTAATAGTAGGTTGGGGGTCAACATCACTTTTCATTGGGAGCAGCAGGCACTGATTGTTGACGCCTCGCCAACAAACTTGATTTCTAGGTGCCCGCCACAGCAACTTCACAAATCCCGAGGTCAAACAAACTCAGCCATGCTAAAGGTTCCTTTTTGAGTGGGGGCCATTTAACATCAGCGAAACATTCGTTTAGCGGAAGTGAAGGAATTTCAATGGCTCCTGTCGCTCTAGCTGCAGCTAGTTTTGTTGCGTCCCTTGTGTTTTCTCATGCTCTCAGTGTGTCTCAATGTGTGCCTGGCCTCGCCACCCCCCCGCTCAGGCTCACTGCAGATCCCAGAAGCGTGGAGGGCATCACGCATTTGATTCTTGATGAGGCCTGAACGTTGGCACATTGGGACATGGCACCTGGACCGTCTTCAAGATGGTTGTTTTGCTGGTTGGGGCGGGGCAATGCGCTATTGTTTCCTCGCGAGGCTCCTCAGCCAGAATTTGTGGGCTTGCGTGTGCGTAGGGCATGTGTGTTTCATCGAAATGCTGAGCTCATGGGAGCTTGACATGAGCTGAGTTCATGGGAGCCTGACATGAGCGGGATCTGCTTTGTAGACAGTCTCACGTGCTTTTGCGGTGACGGGGTTCACTGCCTTTTTCAGTAGCCAGTAGCCTGGGTTCTTGGTGTCCACATCACGCCCGCGGGAGGCTCACATTAGAACAGCTGACATGGAGCTATTGCTGCTGCCTGGAGCCTAGTGTGAGCACACCGCGATGGTGCAGGCATTCACGTTGCCTAAGCCACGCCCGTCTCCAGGACACTTATGCAACCATGTTTGCATAAGTGCTCTGGGAAAGAGAGCGCAGTTGCCAATAGCTGGCGGTTCTTGAGGCTGAGAGTGTTCCAAACAAAATGCCCACCACTTTGTGTGGAGCTGCAATGCGGACCTGTGGTGGCTACAACGCCAGCCCGTCAAGGCTTGAGAGACAGCAGTGGCTAGCTGCATGGCACATGTATATCTGCGTTCGCAATGGGACCGGCTGTCCGCCCGCGCTACATCAAGCAAGGTAGCAAGGCAACAAGGCAACAAGGCAAGCATTCTCTGAGAGCTGCCCCTGCCCGATGATTGAGTTGGACGGGCTGTCCAGGACACTGCGGCTGGTCATGAGAATCAACAGTCATCTTCGTGTGGTGCTGATGCCTGGGCCTTGGTCGAGCCTCAAGCAAGGTCTAGCCTACCAACGGTTTGCTGCTCAGTTGTTCAAACACGACCTCTGTTTTTTTGTTCAAGTTTCGTCCATTTGTGGCATCATATCCGGTCATGGTCCAAACGCATTTACCCTGTATGGATGAGAGTGGACTACTGAGGTCTGCCACTATGGAGGCACGGTTTGACCATTGGTTGTGGCTGGTCAAAGGCAGTTTGAGAGGAACGGCCTCATTGCTTGTGGCTGGTCGAAGGCAGTTTGAGAGGAACGGCCTGCTTTTCTCTTCCTCTTTTTTTTTGGGGGGGGTACTTTGTCCTAGCTGAACACAGCCGGCACTCACAGTCGTTTGCTGTGCATTGCGGGAAGGCATAGACAACCTGACCAACCCCCCCCCCCCCAGGAAGATGTATGGCTTATGGCTTGAGCCATGCAATGCTGGTGTGTTGGCATTGTTTTGTTACCCTCCCACCAATCAACATGGAACCTGATGGGGGGGGGTCCTGGAAGTCCATTTTCCTTTTTAAAGGGACCCCCTGTCAGGTTAATTGGTGGGAGGGTACGTCGTGGCCGTCCCTTCGCAGGCCGACTTTTTCGGCAACTACTTTGCGGAGTTCTCAGAGCCTGGGCCCAATCTCCGGGCTTTGCCTGCAGAGGAAATTCGGTTGGTCAGCTACCAGCGGTCTAGCAATGGCCATGTGATGGGGAAAGGGCAGCTTACTTTTTGCAGGCGCACTTGTCACTGGCCGAGAACTACGTAAACAGAGGACGGCTCCACTGGCCAATGTCCATGGGTACTATGCAAAAGCAGAGCCGACGGCCCTTGCCAGTGTCCATGGGCATTCCCGACTCGCTTTGAGGGAGCCCATCAAGCCCCTCTATGTGGGTGGCCGGCAGGGCACCTCAGTGCCCACGGGTGTTTGGACGGCTGCCTGATTTCGAGGGTTGGTTGGAAGGGGGCCATGGGGGTTTCGTATCGCGAAAACCCGGGCGCACCTGGTGTTTGGGATCTTTCGGAGCACCCGAGCCTGCAGTTGCTGGAGCCTTTTTGGTATTTGAGTTGCATTGTTAATATGTTTCTATATTTTGATGTTGGCTTGCCGACCCTGCTTCGCACATGACACTTGGCTGCATACTGCACGAGAATTGCCCTGCAAGTCTAGGGCGGCAAGCTTGAAATGGAGTCATGAAGCTGGCCTTCAATTCCCTACAGGCATCGGATAGCGAGGTAGTGGATGCCCAGGTCAGGTAGTGATTCTGTTCAAGACCTGTCATGAAGTCCACTTTGACGAATATAGCCCTGAAGGCTCCCAGGCATGCACTCAAACCAGCAGCAGTCAAGATGGCTTTCGGATCGCAGGCTTTTCCCTGTGGAGGCACGGAGTTCGGAGTCTCATGGAGCGTTTGATTCCATGAAGAGCCCTCCAGCCAGATGCCGGGCTGTTAGGAAGCCGTGTCGCTGAGTCCTGGGATGCGTTGAGAACGGGGTTTGCAAGATGCCTTTTGAACCGCGGAAAGAAAGGGTCAATTAGTCCGGTGGGTTTCTGGAAAAACACGCTAAGCCCCGTGAACGCGAGGAGAACCTTGCTAGTTACTGCACAACGGGGCTCAGGTTGGTTGATACCGCGCCCTGTCAACAAGTGGCAGGTGTTTCACTTGGAAGACATCACGGCTGGATCAGTGCCAGGTGGGTATCCGGTTTTGACAACGGGCATTGCTTTTGCGTTGCAGCCCGCGCTGTTTTTTTCTGCGGCCAACCATGGGATGCTGAGCACCCGAATTCCGATGGTTTGGAAGACCATGCTCATCAGAGGTGTTCCCTCTTTAAGTGTGGAATTCAGCAGGGTCCTTCAAATTAATCCAAATTTAACGTTGGTTGGCTCGCAGCAGGTGCCCGCTTGACCAGTGACTTGCAGCCAAAAACAAATGCCTGCAAGATGTCTCTTGGATACTCACATCCCTAAAATGCAGCGTTGGGCAAAGGGGCAGCAACTAGTTTTGTTGACTCCCCTCGGCTCAAAGCCTTAAACCATCGTATTCTTCCCTCTAGCGGTGCCAGGTGGGTTGCTGCCCAAGAACTTGGGGAAGCGAGCGGTGCTGGCAGGGAAGAAGGCAAGGGTTGGGAGAGCCACGCACACCCACACACAGACCCGGCTTGTTTACGCATGGCTTCCTGCTGACAAGAAGAGCAAATGGGAGCGAAGAAGGGTTCACCTGGCCAAAAACAAGGTTAAGGAAGCATGCTTTGGTGCAGGCAGTTGTGCGTTTTGCAGCTTGATTTTCTAGTGTGCGTGCGTGGGAGTGCGGGGGTGTGGGTGTTTGTGTGTAAATTTCTCAGTGTTGTAGGTCGTATGTAGTGCCTGTATAATCATGTGTGCTAGGTCGTTTTGATGACTTTATGGTAATAAGATGCACTCAGATGGCACCCAGAAGCACTCGGATGTTCTAGACATGGCTGCGGCGTGCCACCCGACTGGAGCCAGGCATTCCCGCCAGACAAGCTTGCCATGCTGGACAACAAAGAGGACGGGCAATCCCAAGGGTTGGGACCAGCTTTGCCATGAGCTTTATGCATGCTGGGCCATAGCTCTCCAAGCCCCCGGGTTCCCACAGTTAGATGTTGTAGCTGTGTGCAACCAACAATTCCCTGAACTCGGTTTACCCGGGGCTGCCCAACACTTCCGGGGCAATTGTTGCTTTGAGCTTTTCATGCCAAGAGCTCGATGTCCATGGCCAGGATCTGGAAAAGCTCTTGGTGCCAAAGGCTGGGATCCCGGAGCTGAGCGAGCTATGCAGCACGCACTTGTGGGGGTTTCTTAAGGGGCCTAGCCAATGGCAAGACAGGCCGCTTTAGCAGCAAGTCCGGATGTATTGTTTGGATGTATCCCTTCCCATAGCGATACATTTCTCAGTTCAGTTGCGCCCCCCTTTCCCACCCATCCAAAGCGCACGTCGAGGTGCACCCGAAGGTTCGGGAGCTGACCCAGGCAAGATGCGTGGCCCGTTTTGCCAACGTGGGACTCGACTGGTCAACCCGGAAATCCGGGGCTTGGTTTGCTGCATTTGGCGGATTTTGGCAGGGGCAAATGAGCTACTCCCAGATGCCCTGCTTGCGATCTCTTTCAACTTGAATGGTCAGCTGCCAACTGCATGTCAACTTTGTTTAGCATTCAGGTCTTGAGTGACGTTTCCAGGGCAGACAGGCCAAAACCACCATCATCATATCATGTTTGGCTGCGAAAGCATTTCCGTGTTGATCACTTGGCCCTTCTCCTCCCCCCCCACCCAGGCGCGACTCCGAGCTACCCTGCAGCTTTCCAATGCCTGGCGCCAGGAGATCATCCCTTCTGTGGCAAGTGGGGGGTGTCGCCCTCACATGTCTCAGCGGTCGCGTTGACCCTGACCCGAGAGCAATACTGAACACAAGTGTGAGTTCCTAGGGGAAAAGCCAACACAATCCTGGAATAAGTCTCGACCCATTCCTTAAGCATGGGTCAAGGGGTATCCCAGCAAACGATTCTGAGCCATCTGAGGTCGACAATCCTGATTTTTGTGCCTGGCTATGCGGACCTTGTCCGCATGCACAGCTGGCTCTACTGGAATCTGCCGGCCGCCTGCATTGGCCCTCCCGAGCCTGTCGAGTTCGGAGGCAGTTGACGGGCCTCCGATTCCCTGAGGCCGACCGCTGGTTCCGTGAATATGGGATTTGTTGGCCCGGCACGCTTGGGCAGGTGGGAAAAGAGGGGTTATGCCAAGAGCAGGGGGACGCATGCAAAGGCAGGCAGAACTGAGGATACAGACCCGGGAGAGATATCAACATATCTGAAATGCCGGGTTGAGATTTGACATGTCATGTGCTTAGCGGAAACGCATGTCGCAACTGTAGATCATGATGGACAAATCAAGGACCAGCAACCCCAGGATATCTCATGTGTAGACTGCGCACTTTGTGCCCTTGGATGCCCTTGGGAGCATGAGCAGCGGCAAGGCCTCGCGCCTTCTGACTACATTGCCGCCAGGTGCCGCCCAAACCAGAGCAGCTGACAGACGAAGAGGACGAGCAGGAAGATTTGCAGGAGAACCGAGCTGAGATGTCACGTGCACTGCTCTTTTCTCTGAGCCCAATGTGTTGGGACCTCCGGGCAAAAGCACCTTTTCCGACTTGGCATTCTTTGTTGGGGGGTTTCTGTAGGCTGAATCTCTGAGTTTCCCTTTTCCGGACCTCCGTAATTACTACGTACTTGGCAAAAGAGAATCACCAGCAAGTTCTGATGGATCCTCCAGCTGTTGCATGCTCGATGCCTGCTGACTCGGTGCTTAGGCTGCAGGGCTTTCCGAACATGCAAAGTCCACCTCAGCCCGAGCCCAAGCCAAAGCACAAGCACCGAGACACAGACACACAGACACACGCACACAGACACAAATAGACACAGATGCCAGGCTGCAGCGTGTACCTGCTGTTGGGACAATGCTTGTTGTTTGGCTTTGCGTTGCTGCCATTATGCAACACGCGCAATCAGAACTTGATTGTGCGTCAGAGCACGTGTTGGCACCAATCAGGTCGCCTCCTGCCAGCGCGAATGAAGGCATCACAGAGGCTGCCAGGGAAATGGGCCGGTGAGGTGTTACCACATTGGTTTGCAATCAAGGTGTTCGGTAGGGTCGTGCTTAAGTGCTTGAGACACGTTCCAGTTACTTAAGGGCGGCCGGGCGGTCGCGCAGGTTCTTGCTGGAGAGTGAACATAGCATGTCGAGAAAACAACAACACTGATATCAGCATGTTTTTTTTTTTTCAAGGTACTGATGCCAACATGTTTTTTTGTTCACGTATGGTGTTATCTCCACAAAATGTTTTCCGCATCTAGCCAAACTGATAGCCCGCATTACATGGCCATGAGTCTTCTTTTTTTTGCATTTAGCCAAACTGAGGGTTTTTTTTTTGCAATATGGATTTGCTCGGCTTTGCGTTTTGACACTCCCCATTGTTGTGAGTTTTCTTCCTTATGATCTAGACTCCTTTTGTTTTTGCAACATGGATTTGCCCGGATTTGCGTTTTATGTGCGATTATGTCGTGTAGCTTTTGGCAGCTTTCGGCCTTGCCAATCCCATTTAGGAACTGACAGTAGCCATAGCTGACAATAGCGAGCGCGCCCGCATAGTCGCATGACAGTGGGTGTGTTCGCTCCTGGCCTTCTAAGGCACTTCCCAGGGGGGTGATTTCAAGGGCGCCCCCTGGAAACCCCACTTGAACGCCCTTAAGTAACCTGACCTTGCTTTCAGAGGGTTAAGCACGACCCTAGGTGTTCAGACTTGATCACGTGAGTTTCTCCTTTCGTGCTGTGCACGATCCTGCGAAAGAGTGCAAGAGAGAGATCCGTCGAAGTGCAATGTTACATTCCAAGAGCTTCCTGCTCAGGACAATTATTTGGCCACACCGACGCCTTGGGCAACACCACCACAAAATAAGCCACCATCAAACTTCAAAACCCAGACAACAAGCAGGCAACAAAGCCAGAGAACGACAGCAGAAAACAACGCAAACCGAACCAGCTCGTGGACCCCTGGAAGCAAGCCTTCGTCAGTTTGCCGTTATTCCCCCTCATTAAAAGACGCAAACTATGGGCTAAATTGCAGGTTGATGCCTCGGCGGATTGTTCATTATTGTTGCGCTAGATAGTGGCTGTCCAAGCTAGTGGCTAGTGGTTGATGTTGCAGATCACGGCCGATGATAATGCATGTTGGTTAAAGACGACACCGGCATTCCTCATCCAAGTGCCCTTTGACAATACTTATCAGGCATGATGAATGCCACCCTTTCTGGCAGACCGGGTCCTATTCTGCAAGCGCCAGGATGCGGAGGGCATAAGGTACCGTCTTTTCGCGCTTCACTCTCAGGCCAGTTTCATGGGAAGGGGGCAAGCGGCAAGCGGCAGTTCTTTTGCATTGGAGGTATGCTGACTCTGAGAAGTGGCAAGATGCATCTCATTTATCGTCAGGAGGTCAGGTTTCTACACAGGTGAGCCCGATGCAAGAGTAATTTAAGGGCTGCCGCCCAGTGCCGCCGACCCCAAACCAGTGTGGGAATGGCTGAAATGAACGGGGCCGCTTCAAAATGGGACCGCGATGGGTCCCCTATTGTAGCCAGGGTGCGGTGCATTTTTGCTTTGCTTTCGCATGAAAATGCACCGCTTTTATGATGATGATGATGATGATGATGATGATGATGATGATGAACTGACATGATAATCATCATGACGCATCCTCAGCATCACCAGCAGTCATCATGATAATAATGTCCACGCATCTTCTGCATCTCAAATCAGCTCTAATGGTACTGATGATGATGATCATCATTAGCACCGTGATGATGATGATGATGATGATAATGATGATGATGAACTGGCATGATAATCTCATGACGCATCCTCAGCATCACCAGCAGTCATCGTGATAATGCGCTTTGATTGGCACGCTTCCATAGAACCTGCGCCCATTCTGGAGCGATCGTTTTCTTTCCTTGGCTTGGTGCATTTTTGTAAGAATCTGGTAAGAAAATGCGCCGCTGTAAGTGCCTACAATTCTGCTGCTGCTGGGAGCATGTGCCGTGACGTTGCGTTTGCAGTAGAGGCTTATCGCCGGTCACCCCGCAAGCCAACCAGTTTTCTCGCCGCAAGTCGGGGCCGCGATGGGTCCCTTATTGTAGCCAGAGCGCGGTGCATGATGATGATGATGATGATGCTGAACTGACATGATAATCATCATGACGCATCCTCAGCATCACCAGCAGGCATCATGATAATTATGTCCACGCATCTTCTGCATCTCAAATCGGCTCCAACGGGACTCATGATGATGATCATAATGATGATGATGAACTGGCATGATAATCTCATGACGCATCCTCAGCATCACCAGCAGTCATCATGATAATCATGTCCACGCATCTTCTGCATCTCAAATCGGCTCTGATGATGATGATGATGATGAACTGGCATGATAATCATCATGACGCATCCTCAACATCACCAGCAGTCATCGTGATAATGCGCTTTGATTGGCACGCTTCCATAGAACCTGCGCCCATTCTGGAGCGATCGTTTTCTTTCCTTGGCTTGGTGCATTTTTGTAAGAATCTGGTAAGAAAATGCGCCGCTGTAAGTGCCTACAATTCTGCTGCTGCTGGGAGCATGTGCCGTCACGTTGCGTTTGCAGTAGAGGCTCATCGCCGGTCACCCCGCAAGCCAACCAGCTTTCTCGCCGCAAGTCGGGGCCGCTATGGGTCCCCTATTGTAGCCAGGGTGCGGTGCATTTTTGCTTTGCTTTCGCGTGAAAATGCACCGCTTTTATGATGATGATGATGATGATGAACTGACATGATAATCATCATGACGCATCCTCAGCATCACCAGCAGGCATCATGATAATAATGTCCACGCATCTTCTGCATCTCAAATCGGCTCTAATGGGACTGATGATGATGATCATCATTAGCACCGTGATGATGATGATGATGATGATGATGATGATGAACTTGCATGATAATCATCATGACGCATCCTCAGCATCACCAGCAGTCATCGTGATAATGCCATTAGAGCCGATTTGAGATGCAGAAGATGCGTGGACATAAGTATCATGATGCCTGCTGGTGATGCTGAGGATGCGTCATGATGATTATCATGTCAGTTCAGCATCATCATCATCATCATCATGCACCGCGCTCTGGCTACAATAAGGGACCCATCGCGGCCCCGACTTGCGGCGAGAAAACTGGTTGGCTTGCGGGGTGACCGGCGATAAGCCTCTACTGCAAACGCAACGTCACGGCACATGCTCCCAGCAGCAGCAGAATTGTAGGCACTTACAGCGGCGCATTTTCTTACCAGATTCTTACAAAAATGCACCAAGCCAAGGAAAGAAAACGATCGCTCCAGAATGGGCGCAGGTTCTATGGAAGCGTGCCAATCAAAGCGCATTATCACGATGACTGCTGGTGATGCTGAGGATGCGTCATGAGATTATCATGCCAGTTCATCATCATCATTATCATCATCATCATCATCACGTCGTGATGTTGCGTTTGCAGTAGAGGCTCATCGCCGGTCACCCCGCAAGCCAACCAGTTTTCTCGCCGCAAGTCGGGGCCGCGATGGGTCCCCTATTGTAGCCAGGGCGCGGCGCATTTTTGCTTAGCTTTCGCGTGAAAATGCACCGCTTTTATGATGATGATGATGATGATGATGAACTGACATGATAATCATCATGACGCATCCTCAGCATCACCAGCAGTCATCATGATAATAATGCCCACGCATCTTCTGCATCTCAAATCAGCTCTAATGGGACTGATGATGATGATCATCATTAGCACCAGCAGCAGCAAATTTGTAGGCACTTACAGCGGCGCATTTTCTTACCAGATTCTTACAAAAATGCACCAAGCCAAGGAAAGAAAACGATCGCTCCGCAGGTTCTATGGAAGCGTGCCAAGCAAAGCACGATGATCATGATGATGATGATGAACTGACATGATAATCATCATGACGCATCCTCAGCATCACCAGCAGTCATCTTGTTAATCATGTCCACGCATCTTCTGCATCTCAAATCGGCTCTGATGATGATGATCATGATGAGCGCCGTGATGATGATGATGATGAACTGAGATGGTGGTCATTATCGTCATCATCATCATCATTGTCATCATCATCATCGTCAACATCGTCATCATCATCGTCATCATCATGGATGATAACCATCATCGTGCGTCCTCTGCATCACCTCATTATCGTCATCGTCATCATCATCATCGTCATCATCATCATCGTCATTATCGTCATCATCATCGTCATCATCATGGATGATAACCATCATCGTGCATCCTCTGCATCACCAGCAGTCATGATGATAACCATGTCTACGCATCCTCTGATGGTGGTCATTATCGTCATCATCATCATCATCGACATCATCGTCATCATCATCATCGTCATCATCGTCATCATCACCGTTGTCATCATGGACGATAACCATCATCGTGCATCCTCTGCATCACCAACAGTCATGATGATAATCATGACTACGCACCCTCTGCATCTCCAATCGGCTCTAACGTCACCCTTGAAACGTATATAAAAAGATAAGGACTTCAACGATTTGATGTGATATAATGACAAGCGTGTCATCATCATCATCGTCATCATCATCAGCATCCTCGATGATGTGATGACGATGAGCATGTCATCATCACCATGCATGATGGTGGTCATCATCGTCATCGTCACCATCAGCAGCATCATCATCATCATCGTCATCGTCATCATCACCGTTGTCATCATGGACGATAACCATCATCGTGCATCCTCTGCATCACCAACAGTCATGATGATAATCATGCCTTGAAACGTATATAAAAAAGATAAGGACTCAACGATTTGATGTGATATACTGACAAGCGTGTAATCATCATCATCGTCATCATCATCAGCATCATCCTCGTCATCATCACCGTTATCATCATCGATGATAACCATCATCGTTCATCCTCTGCATCACCAACAGTCAAGATAATCATGTCTACGCATCCTCTGCATCTCCAATCAGGTCACAACGATGATGATGTGATGTCACCATGATGGTGGTCATTATCGTCATCATCATCATCGTCATCATCATCGTCATCATCATGGATGATAACCATCATCGTGCATCCTCTGCATCACCAGCAGTCATGATATGATGCTGAACTGACATGATAATCATCATGACGCATCCTCAGCATCACCAGCACGCATCATGATAATCATGTCCACGCATCTTCTGCATCTCAAATCGGCTCTAACGGGACTGATGATCATGATCATGATGATGATGATGAACTGACATGATAATCATCATGACGCATCCTCAGCATCGCCAGCAGTCATCATGATAATCATGTCTACGCATCCTCTGCATCTCCAATCAGGTCACAACGCTGACGTCATCATCGTCATCATCAATATCGTCATCGTCATCGTCATCATCACCGTTGCAATCATGGACGATAACCATCATCGTGCATCCTGTGCATCACCAACAGTCATGACGATAATCATGACTGCGCACCCTCTGCATCTCCAATCGGCTCTAACGTCATGTGATATACTGACAAGCGTGTCATCATCATCATCGTCGTCATCATCGTCGTCATCATCGTCATCATCATCGTCATCCTGGTTGATAACCATCATCGTGCATCCTCTGCATCACCAGCAGTCATGACGATAATCACATCTACGCATCCTCTGCATCTTCAATCAGGTCGCAACAATGATGATGTGATGATGCGCATGTCATCATCACCCATGGTGGTGATTATCGTCACCATCCTCGTCATCGTCATCATCATCATCATCATCGTCATCATCATCGTCATCATCATGGATGATAACAATCATCGTGCATCCTCTGCATCACCAACCGTCGTGATGATAATCACGATTGCGCACCCTCTGCATCTCCAATCGCCCTTGAAACGTACATAAGAAGATATAAGCACGACAAGGAAAATGATGTGAGATACTGACAAGCGTGTCACCATCATCATCGTCGTCATCATCGTCGTCATCATCGTCATCATCATCGTCATCCTGGTTGATAACCATCATCGTGCATCCTCTGCATCACCAACAGTCGTGACGGTAATCACATCTGCGCACCCTCTGCATCTTCAATCAGGTCGCAACAATGATGATGTGATGATGAGCATGTCATCATCACCCATGGTGGTGATTATCGTCACCATCATCGTCATCGTCATCATCATCATCATCGTCATCATCATCGTCATCATCATGGATGATAACCATCATCGTGCATCCTCTGCATCACCAACACCCTAAGTCTCCGGTATT